GTCAGCTCTGTCATCTGTATGCTCCTGAACAAAAGCAGGCTCTCTTTCTAACAGCGAAGCAGAGGAGACCCAGGGCAGAGCTCCTTCAGCTATAAGGTCAAACAATCACATCTTCCTCTGCAGGGCTCTCTGACAGCAGAGGGTGTTAACTCACACAGATATAGTGCTTGGTTAAATGTAGTTTCTTGTGTAAATGTATGCAATTATGTGAGCATATGGAATAATGCATTTCAAGTTCAAATCATTTATTTCTCAGTGGCTAAATGGAACAAAATAGGTACATCATGGAAATAAAATTGCATATATTACATGTATCATATAATTATATGTATGTGGCTCATGTACTGTACATCTATAAGTGTCATCATTTGGGTGTACCTTTATGTGAAGCTCTGCAGTGCGTAATATTCAGTGTATCACTTAACCCCTTTCAGACACAGCTGCTTGTATCAGAGGATAAAGCAACAATTTGTTATATAAATGTTTAAGAATTCTAAAAATGATTTTGACGAGTGAGAATTTGACAGATTATAGACCTTCTAAGTGGCTTTATTGGTGACTTGTTTGACAACGATCATCTTATTCAGAATAGTTGCAGTTACAATTTACATCCTTGTCTGTCCGGACCTGGTCCAGACTTATATGTAGTAAATTGAATAACAGGTGTAAAGTGTATTTTTTGGCTAAATGGAAGTTATCACTATATTGATGGTACATTTGTATGATTCCTGTGAATATACATGTTTGAAGTGATTAATGAAGGATTATCATGGATGTATATTTGGCTAAACAGGTACACATGTACTTGACAAGATGAAAGAACATACTGTGAAATGTAGTCACAATCTGCTCTTCTCTTCCTGAGTTATGCTGTTGAATAATGGCCAAAAAAAAGATTTTTTTCAGGACATTGACGTCACAGTATGTCATTACTTCCTTATAGTATTCCATTAAACATCTGTGGGTATTTTTCTCATAATTACCTCATCAGTTCTTGAGTAATGAGCTAAAATATTTTTTGTGAGGTCGCAGTAACCTTGACCTTTGACCACCAAAATCTAATCAGTTCATCCTTGAGTCAAAGTGGACTCCAAGTGAGCCAAATTCCATCAAAGCGTTGTTGAGATATCGCGTTCACAAAAATTGGACAGACAGATGTAGGCTACAGACAGACGGACAACCTGAAAACATACTATGACACGGCTATGACTGCTTTGGAAGCATAAAAATCAAGTCTAAGAAAATTGAAAAAATCAACTCAGACATGGCAGGAGATGAGTTGTCATGTGCGTTTGCCCACTGCAGTGTAAGCAGGTGAATTTACAGTGTTGTTAAGGGTGACATAACTCTAACAGGGCAGTCCTCCAATCTCATTACTGGTCTAGAACCACCTTTGAGACTAATGACATTCGTGTCGGCTCTTAAGGTTCAACCGCAGTGTGTTTATGTGTGTGTGTGTGTGTGTGTAAGTGTGTAAGTGAGAGAGAGAGAGAGAGAGAGAGAGAGAGAGAGAGAGAGAGAGAGAGAGAGAAGAGGGAAGGCCTTCTCCGTACGTGACACCCATGCCTATCCCCACCTTGTCTCACCTTGGTACTGCAGCATACCTCCCCTCTTCCATTGCTCCTCTTCTACACCCTTCCCTCCCCACTAAATCGCTCGTAACATCGGCTCCCAGATGACATATTTCCACTATGGTGCTTAATAGATTCCTGCTCTCTCTGGTTGGCTGAGGAGCAGTGGTTTGATTCTCTGAGAGGTGAAGGGGAGGCTGGTTAGAGAGATGAAGAAAGCTGAGGGAAGAAGGTGTTAAATTGAGGAGGGTTGGAGAGAGGAAAGTGGGACAGATTGGAAGAAATGGAAATAAAAGTGGAGAAGCAGAAAGGTTATGTGTAATGGAAAAAGGGGACACAGGTTGGTGCAGCATCTGCAGGAGCAGCTGATAAGACTCATGGTCAAGGTGGCAGGTGAAAGAGGGACTGAACTGTTTCACTTTGTAGCTGGATATTGCCTTCCTGGGTTTGTGCGTAGATTTGAGCAACAGTTAGAAAAATGTCTATAGATTGCATAAGAAGAATTGTTTATTTAAAGTTATAATCTGTAAAATTGTCATGAAATCAAACCCCATTTTTTATACTATTTACGGTCAGTATTTTTTCAGCAATATAGCCATAAAATAAGCAGAAAACGATTTAGACATCTGACATTTGAGAGTGGGCTGCACAAAAGCTTTAAGGAGTTATGATTTTGGAAAACCTCTGAGTCTGAGAAAATTATAATGTGAATCTGGTTGTTTCCTTCAGTAGAAAAGTTGCTGTTTGGCAGCCAAATCTAAAATCTTTGATGTTTTTCTTGAATGCACCGACAGGAAGATTTTAAAAAAATGGTTCTCACTAAATGGCATTACCTCAAGACAATAACAGAGCACTTGAAGTCCCCTTGAGAGGTATCAAGCTGTGTGCCTCAAGAGGGCACTTACAATGCAACTTCACTAAGCTGTAAAAAAAAAAAAAAAAAAAAAAGTAATAGCTACTCCTTTGCCAAGCAATGAAAATGATGTTCTTCGTGTGTGTTTGCATCATATAAATCTTCAAAATAATCACCATACAAAGTTGTATTATTTTGTAAATATTTTTGACTACAAGAGAATTAATGTATTATTTGCAGATGTCAGATCGCGTGTTAGCCCCAGTGGGACGCCCTCTACTGTAACTCCTGTAGAGTTAGCAGGTATTAGAATGTAAACAAATTTCAGAGGTTCTTTGGGAAGCGTCCACTGGGTATAAGCTTTGCCCAGAGTGAATGGGGCCTCTACTATAGCATTGTTACACTGCAGATGAATGAGTAACTGTAGCCAGTGCTGGCTGTCCTCCCAGAGGCTGAATGATGAATTATGGAGGCCTGTTTGTCTCTTTTTACCCAGACGTGTCCTTGCCTGATTCATTCATTTACTTCTAGTGTGTATGTGAAAGAGAGAAGGAGAGGGTAATGCTAAGGTTGTAAAACTGAAGCTCAATGATGTCACCAGCTGACAATAGATATCCTTCTCACGCTCTCAAACACACTGCTGCTTATCCTGAGAACTCTGTTGGTGCATACCAAAAAACACCAGGAACAGTGTGTCCTTTGCAGGGAGGCTAGTGATTTACTGTAGCTCCAGGGACATCATGATGAAGCTGAATGTGAAGCCAAAGTGCCAAAAAGCATCTGTCTGTCCTGTGCTACAGCTCTCCTCTCTGCACAAGCAGACAGAGGGAGAGACAGCTGGAGAGACTGCCAGCTGTCCTGACAGATATGAAGAAAATCAGAAGTAGAGTGGAGATTGGTAAACTAACAAGCAGATTCATAGACCCAAACAGGCAAACATATAGACTATGATGTATGAAGTGACATAGGGATTGAAAAACAGATGGAAACGCACAAAGGGTATAAACTCACTTCTTGCATAGCTGGATCCATTACTCGATTATTTTGTTTGTGATTATGGATACATTTGCCATAATTAAAATAAGCTAACATTTTTCAAAGCAACAAACTGTGTTCCATGTTACTAATGAGATTAAACTAGTCATACAGCATATTTAAAATAAAAACTGCTTGTTCTTTGAATCAACCAATGGATGTTGCACATACCACTTAACTCATCTTGGGCCATCATCAGGTCAAAATTTTTTTTTTTTGCTTGGTGCTAACTAGCAAATGTTAGCATGCTATTATGCTTAACTATGGTGAACATGGTAAATATTACACCTGCTTCACATCAGCGTGCTAGCATTATTAATTTGAGCATTCTGACATAAGCATTAAGCTCAAAGCACCAGAGACTCCAAGTCTTGGTAATTACAGCTTTCTCAAAATACCTATTTTAGACAATAAAAAGTTGTAGAATGAAAACATATATACACTTTTACAGGTATAACAGGATACTGATAAAGGTGGTTACACCAATATTGAATTATTACTTAGGCCAAGACCTGATAATTATAAACATCTATGTACAGTAGAGCCCAACTGAAAAATATCAGCTTATATCTTGTTATATTTAGGAATCTGCTTCAAATATTAAGCATTGGTTGGGCACTGCATAGTGTAGAGTAAATGAATGTCTCGAGCTTTTATGTTCATAGGTCTGTGGTTTCACAGGCAAACCAGATCAAGCAGATTGAAAGACAGGCAGATAGATAGTTAGACAGATAGATTGATGACACACAGAAAATAGATACTGAGGAACAAACAGACAACAAATGGGCAGACAGATACACAGACTGACAGGGCAGACAGCGAGATGACAAAGGGCACATTGATCTGATTAAAACCCTTTGCTTCCCAGCTCTCTGCTCTGTCTCACTGCTCGGCTGGGAAAAGGTCATTTCTTTCTGACTTGGTTTCTCACTCACTGTGGCCTAATGCCTCTGAGGGCAGCCCTGCCAAAACGCCTCAGATCTCCGTGGGTTGGCAAACAATGAGAGAGAGACACAATGTACCGTAGGAGGAGGAGGGGGTTTCCTGCAACGAAAACAAAAATCAGAGGAAGGCATAGGCAGCAAGAGAAATGATAAAGGGGAGAGGCAGACAGGTACAGATGAAAAGGGGAGGAGGTGGTAAAAAGGAGGCCTGGATCGGAAAGCTATGAATGAATAAGATCAAAAAGAGACTGAATGGGGAGATGTTTTCACTGATGGACCTCCAAAGAAGGAAGGAGAGTGAAATCCAGTGAGGACTGAGCCTTCTGTACATACAGAAATGAAACATGGAGGGAAGGAGCTGGCGGTGACAGCCCATCCAGCACAGAGTCGAACAGACAGGCGAGTGAAGCTCGAGAGAAGAAAGTGATAAATGGGTGGTCAGCTGGTGGAGAGCTGGGCTCAGGGGGTGGGGTGAGCGAGCTATGGGAGACCCTGGTGCTGACAGACTGTGCACTCCGTTAGACCCTGACACTGATATACACACACTTAAACACACAGCGGTTTCAAGGCGAAGGACAATGTTACAGTACATGTTGATGACAGCGAGAAGTGAAGTATTTATTGGCTAACAGAACATTTGGTCATTCATACACACTGAAACATGGTCTGTAGAAAACCTTGATGTAATATTGGTGACATTTTTAGTCTTTATATATTCCTAATAGAACAATTACTTTTGAAATTGCTACAAAAATACACATTAGAAGAAATGAGACCTCTAATCCCTCTAATGGAAAAACACTTTCTGAGAGACTTTAATAAAACCAGCATGAACATACGGAACTGCATCTTAAGGTAATTTTGCATTACAAGTTCCTGTTTCTTTTCAAATATCCTCTTTGTCATTCACTAAGGTTTCTCCCTGCTTTCCGCTGCTGCACGTGAAGATTTTCTTGAAATCACAGCTCCCATCTTTTTTTATGAGGTCTGGCAACAGAAACGGCAGACTGGATTCTAAAGTTTCATATACTGATATTTTCATACACAGGTGGCATCTTGGCATGTTTGGTGTTTCCTTCCATATTTCTGTGGGTTTCTTCTCAAAGTCAGGTGGATTAGGGACTCTAATTGGAGACTCTTGTTTCTTGGCCTAGAAATCTGAGACTTACTGTAAAAAAATATGAATTAAAAATAAATAAAACAACTGATTACATCACTGTATAATGTCTGTAACCACCCAACCAAACTGGCAATGAGGTTAAAGTTCTGAAAACATTTTATTTCCACCTCTACAGTTGTGAGCTATTATGCTAAAAATAATCAGATCTGTTTTAAATTGATCTAGAACCTTTTCCAACATACATACAGCTGACCATAATCTGAAGAAGCCTGGTGTAAAAATACATTACTCACGTCACTGCATCCCATATTTGCTCTTTTCAGGCTCTGGTAGGTATGTGGGAATCTTTCTGTTGTGCGTGTTCAAAAACCCATGACCCTGTTTCTATCTGGGGAAAAAGTTATTCTTCTTTCAGCAGCTGCAAACCCCAGTGACGTATTTGGACAGCGAGGTGCTCTCACCTCGTGTTCCCAATCAGCAGCGTTAGCAGGTTATTATTAGCCTGGCAGAGAGCTAAAAGAAGAAGCAGCAGCTCTGCCCAGACCTTATGCTGGATCAACCGGCAGCTGTGACTCCATCTTTGTTTTCATCCTGACCTCCGATGCTGTGTGTCTGTTAAGGTATTACACAGTACGCAGCACACAGTATCTGCACTCCCACACATAGATCTGTAGGTATATTCTTACTGGGGTTCTGCAGACTCATATGCAGACCCACATAAGCTGCCAGTTCAAGTTATGATTTTATTTTCAGCTGGCAACATTAGTGCCTCTTGTACTTTCCCGTTTTCTACTATATCTAAGTAGAAAGTTGATTATTTGTCTTGAATTTGTTTCAGTGAGGTCTGAAAGCTGCTCAAGGGACAGTTAGATTTATTTAGGCTTGCCATTCTGCTTAGATTTCAGTAAATAACACTGGTTTGTTCTCTTGTATGGATTGTAGTTCAACTTCACAACCTAACAGTAGAAGTGCCAGTAGTTTTTGGTCTTGGTGTAGTCAGCAAATGCATTCTGGGCTACTGTAGAAACATGGCAGTCCAACATGGTGGTCCCCATATAAGAGGATCCTCATCCTCTGTAGATAAAACAACTCATTCTAAGGTAATGAAAACATAACCAATTCATCAATTCTGCAAATAGACTGGACCTTTAACACCCTTCTGCACAAATACAATAATAAGAGATAATAACTGACTTATTAGATAGATAGTACTTTCCACAATTGCAGTGGAATTAATTTGTCTTTCTGACTGTAACAGGAGACCTCTAAGGCAAGTGTTTGTTTGCAATTTTAACTTATATAAATAAATAAACTTAATGCAATGACAGCAACAACTTAGGCTTCAGCACTGCAGCCAGAGAGCTTGAAGTTTGTGTTGTTTAATGTATGTAACTTATACATAGTGAGATTTTTTTTTATTGCAAGCCTGAAATTTGATAAGATTTGATTTGTGAGAATCTGGCCATACAATAAAGTTAACATTAAGAGGAGGAAAAGAGAGGGCTTCTAAAGTCTTTCTATTACTTAATAAAGACTGTTTTCAATATACATTTATATGAGTTTGGTGTGGAGATTGTAGGAGACTCATAGAGAGTGAGAACCCAAAGAATATATCAGTCAGAACAGAATTCACCTTCACAAAATATAAATATTAAAGCTAGAAATATTATATTCAATTTTGGTTTTGACTATTTTTTATTTAAATTATTCACATTTTCCTTCAGACTGTTTCTCAAAACACCTTTCCTTGTCCTGTGATAACAGCCAGTGCAGAAACCGTGTGGTGGAAAAATGTTTTCTTCTTGTTTGTCACTTCCTCATGTACTGTTTCCCTGGTTGCAAATTAACTAATTTTCTCTCTTTCAACAATAAAATGTTCATGGGTGGGCTGCAATTTCACACGTATTTCAGCATTTTGTCGTTGGATATCAGGTAATCGGTGGTAGTTGACAATGTAAGTGTTTCAGTAGTGTGCGCATAAGTGTTTCAACTGCTCTTTTTCAGTAGTGTGAAGGTGTTTAAGTGGTGTACTGTATATGAGAACAGCTCAGTCGTGCATAGATTGAATTCTGTTTACTTGAGTGATCCGGTCGTGTATGCAGGAGGCTGTTAACACTGAAGTGCTCCATCACATTTGCTGTAAATGTATAAGCATCGCCTTTATGTCTGAAAGGTAAAATGTCTGTTATGTAAACTAAAATATGAATCATCACCTCAGTGGCCCTACATACTAGAAAAACTGCTAAAAAAAACAACCCTGGAAGCAGCAGCGTCATGTTGATAGTGTCGGTACTGGTAGAACAGACAATCTCATTTTCTTCTTATCACCCCATCCTGTACAGGCCTGCGGCAGTGATCAACTGACTGACGCTGAGAGAGATGGAAACTTAGACAAAAAAGGAAAGAAAAAAATCTAGAGATAACGGAAAACCTTAAATTACTGGACCCTCAACCCACTGAGCCCAGAGCTGACAAAGCAAGCTGTAGGTTTTTGTGAAAAATTACTTTGTCCTCTATTGGAGCTTTCATCTCTGACACAAAGCAAATCTTGGCATTTAGTTTCTGTACATGACTCAACCAACCCTGATTATTGTTGGGAATTTTAAGGTACCTACTTACAGTGAGAGTCAAGCTTCATTCTGCTTTTGCACACTATAATTCTGCTTAAAGATTTAGTGTGAGTTCTGGCTTTACTACAATGTTTGTAGTGAAATTCCATCTTATTTTCATTATTGATTAACCATTTAGTCTGTATGAAAATGTGAAAAATTAAGTTCCCAGAGTCCATGGTGTATGGCATCTTCAAATTGCATCTTGTCTGACCAGCACTTGCAAAAGATACACATTTTATTTAAAGTCAATAAAAAACTATATTGAATTTAATTTTAAAAAAGTAAATTCTCACACATAACTGATTGATCGATTATCTTAACTTAACTTGTTCTTGATTAATTCCCTGTTGATTTAGTAATCAATTAATAATTTCAATTTAAGTCATGAGTACTCATCACACTGAGATACAGTTTAATAGCACATGCTTTAACCAAATGTCAGATCTACTTTATGTACATATATGTCTGTAGTGTTATTTAGTTTTTCTTTAACCATCTGATTAATCTGGAGCCATCTCCTTTGGCCTGTTTCTCTTTGCTCTTTTTCTTGCAGTGTTTTTTACAGCGAGGTAAGAAAAGCAGGGAGGTAAATTAAAGCAATTAGACGTCCCATGTGAAAATGTTTTCTACGGGGTCACTGCACCTTTTGCTCCACCCTCAGCAGGAATGATTTCAAAATAGTTTTTAACATTCTGTTTTAATTCTCTCATTTGCAGTTGCAGTCACTTTATTCTAGTGAATAGATATATCTACACCACTAATGTATGCAGCTGCTGACAAAAAACAAAAAACAAATCTTCTTGAAAACATTCAATCTGTGCAGAACTGCAAACAGGAACATCAAACACATGCATGTATACATACCAAACAGATTATGTGCAATAAAACACTACTCAGACAGAAATTACTCTGCAACCGTGGACACAATTTTACATCAAATGAGGCTTGGTGCTGCAGTTAGGAGAATCACATCTATCAAGAGCTTTTCACTAAGAAGGGAACATGTTGGCATAGGCTGCTGCTTCTGAGCTGGAACAAAGCACATGTCTCATGTTATGGATGGAGCAGTCACATTGAGAGGGAAAGGTTTACACAAGTGGTAGCTGCAGGCTGACAGAGCTCTGAACTCGAGGGTAGTGAAGAGAAGTCACTACATCAGAATTATTTCAGCTGTGAGGCCTCCACTTGAAATCAGTCAGAAATGAATCACGTACTTTAGTGGAGAATCCCAAGAGTAGTCCAACCTGAATCTGCATCCTTTTTGTTAGGACTAAAAATATTCTATCACAGCTTTCTCCCTCCTAATTCTTCTTTAATTTCATTAGAAAATGCAAACATTCAGGTAGGTTAGGTGTGGGCATATTCATGCAGAACAAAAGAAGAACTGGGAATGGTACTTCAGTGTGAAGAGTTTTATTTGTGTCTTATGTATGCATAGAATTGTTCCCCAGCAACTCCAAATAATTTATGGATATATATGTCCTGATGATTGCTTGTATCTGTCTCAGCACAGTGATAACTGAATAGCTGCAGTGGGACATAGAGAAAGTAAGTAATTGCAGTGAGTTGTTGGAGATCAATTATATGACCAAGTAATTCTTATTTACATTATTGATTAATCTATTGATTTTTTGGAGTAATTGTTTAGTTAACTGTCTACATGCTAGCATGAACTCAGGGACAGCATTGGTTTGAGGTCTAAATAACATCAGTATGATAACATGCTCACAATGACAATGCTAACATGCTGATGTTTTATCCTCAGGGGACCATGAATGTCTGTTTTATTGCCAATCGATCTTGATGTTGAGTTATTTAAACTGAATACCTGCTGGTGGTAAAAAGTGATTAAGATTCCTCATCTCAGCACCATGGATATCCTCCAAATGTCATTGTAGTCCAGCCAATAGTTGTTGAGATATTACCAAAGTCAGTAGGATTCATCCTCTGGGGTCCATGAATTGTTGTACAGAATTTGAGACCAATAATCTATAAAATGTTATGATAATTTAATCTAATCTATTACTAGAGTCATGCCACTATGGCTAAAAACAATTCTATTTTTTAATTTGTTAAATTGGGTTTTTAAAAATTGTTGAAGTTAATTGGAAAATTGTAAGTGGATGAATTGACTCCTATGTTACATATTATATTCAATTCAGTTCAGTTTAAATTAATTAATTCATCACCTTCATGTAATGACTTTAAGGTAAATGTTATTTGGGAATTGTTTTAGCTTCAGTAGGTAGTGCAAATGCATTTTTGCAAGGGGACCTATCTGTGTGTTGACACTCTATTTTTGTATTCACACGTCACAGAGGTGCTTTCACTACAGCAACAAAAAGTGTGACCCACTTACCTGTTTAAGTCCTTTTTGTCCCCATTTTCCAAAAGCCTGTAGGCAGGGGAAGAAGAATCAGAGACGATTAAACCAGAGGGAGGTAGGGAAAAGAGCAGCACTGTATGGATGGAAAGGGAGAGATATAGTGCATGTATGTATGTGGCTCTGGACTGCTTCATATGACCTTCTATAAATCAAACTGTCCGTCTGTTTAAGGGCAGAGACTTCCCCTTGTTTCTCCCTTCCCCTGCCACATTTTTTCCATAAATGGCTCTCCAAATCTCTTGCTGCCTGTCACAGTAATTTAGCCCAGAGTGGGGTCATTGTCCGCCAACACACCTGCACTGTGGCACCTCTTGTTCACTGTCAACCTTGTCTTTCTGTCAAAAGACTCTAATATCCTGGAAGCCCGTACTCATTCACCTCATTTTTGGGCCCTCCGCTTTCCTCTGCGTGATGTATCGATCGAGGCCAGTGCCACTTATTCCCTTCTCGTTCTCTTCTCCCCAGCCCTCCTCGTGACCTAAATTCCCCTGTGTGCTCATTAATTAGCTGATGCAAGACTGCGTTCCCCAGGGAGGGAGGGGATTGAAAAAGCTCATTATAGGACACATCAATAAGGAGGGATTAATCATCCATTGGTATGTGTGATCCATCGCTCTGTGTGTATGTGTGATAAACAAGCCCACAGGTGTGAAAGCATTTATGATAATCTCTGTTTTCTGTAGCACTCTCGCTTGAGTTCAACATAACACACACATGGTTTCTTCAGTCTCTGAAAAAGAAAACATTTACTCATCTTGTTGTTGATATACTGTGTATCCATCCACCATCTGTACTTCTTACTTATGGTCTCTTGGGTTTTGAAGGAATTGACCGTATCCCAGAATGCAGTAGCCCACAGGGTGGGAAACATAACCACTTACCATTACCATTGCAGGGCAACACAGAGTTAAAGGCGAACATACTCTCATCAAAGGGCAGTTTTAGAGTTTCAAAATGACTTCATACATCATCAAATCATACCTTCATCAAGGTTATAACATAATGCATTTTGTTGTTGAATTTTTTATGGTCATTTTGGAGGCTGTAGTCTATGGTGCCCTTAAAGTGTATTGTGTCCTACTGAAAGGTTTTTATATGTTTTCTCCCCTCTAGGAGGGTATGTGTGATCCACAGGGTATTTATGTAACTAACAAGCCTCCCAACTGGACCACATGGTCTTCATTGCTTGATCTTATCTTTCTTTGTTTATGCTTTATTTACTGAAATAACAGTGATTACTATCTTGGGGATTGTAAGCACCCAAAGGGGATACCTATATATATATATATATATATATATATATATATATATATATATATACATGGGTGTGTGTGTGTGTGTGTGTGTGTGTGTGTGTGTGTGTGTGTACACAAGGAAAAATAATCAATATTGTAGGGCAGAATTCTTATATAAATATTGATTATTTTTCCTTATGTAGATATTTTCATCTCTTCAGACTTCCAAAAACTCTCCAAATTAAACAATTTAACACTTTCTTGGCTTCACTAAGGCCATATCCTGTGAAAGAGTCACATTTAGGGTGTCAAAACTTAAAAAAGATTGGTAGCCACCAATGTAGACAGAATATCAGTATTATGCAATACAGCTTAACAGCACCTCTAACTACAGCCTCAAAAGTGGACCATGAAGTTAAATTAATTCACCTCTGCACAAGTTTGAACAACAACTGATATAACCTAATATTTAACCTTCATGAAGAAGAGATTTATTTGCAGGGATTTGTTGAAATCTTGACATAGAAAGGTTAAACCTTTGAAGCTGGTAAAGACTTAAGCAGGGTGAATTCTAACTGACTCTAGGGTACTCCAGTCCCACTGAAAGGTATTTAACAATTAAGCCACCCAGCAGAACCACTACTTCATTAGTTAATATTTTCTTAATGATGATTTGTTTCTCAGGTGAGTGTCATTAATGCATGATCTCCTTTGGAGATGTCCGCAGGTCACAGCACTAAGCACATTTACAGTTGAAACCAGAAGTTAGAAATACGCTTTTTTTTTCTCACTGTCTGACATGAAATCAGACAATCACCTTTCCTGTTTTAGGTCCATTAGGATTACCAAAATTATTTATATTTGCTAAATGCCAGAATAATGAGAAAAGGACAATTTTTTATTACTTTCTTCAAAGTCAGAAGTTTACATACACTAAGATTACTATGCCTTTAAAAAATTTGGGAAAGCCCAGATGATGATGTCATGTCTTTGGAAGCTTCTGATTCTTCTGTTTATTGACAACATTTGAGTTAATTAGAGACACACCTGTGGATGTATTTTAAGGCACACCTGAAACACACTGCTTCTTTGTGTAACATCATGGGAAAGTCAAAAGAAAGATGCCTGAAGGTGCCACGTTCATCTGTTCAAACAATTATACTCAAGTATAAACACCATGGGAATGTCCAGCCATCATACCGCTCAGGAAGGAGAGGGGTTCTGTGTCCCAGAGTTGAGCGTGCTTTGGTCCAAAATGTGCATATCAACCCAAGAACAAAAGCAAAAGACCTTGTGAAGATGCTGGCTGAAGCTGGAAAGAGTGTGTCATTATCCACAGTGACACGAGTAAGAAGCAGGAAGAAGCAGGAAGAAGCAGGAAGAAGCCATTACTCCCAAAAGAAACATAAAAAAGCCAGATTACAGTTTGCAAATGCACACAGGGACAAAGACCTTAATTTTTGGAGACATGTCCTGTGGTCTGACGAAACTAAAATCAAACTGTTTGGCCAAAATGACCATCGTTATGTTTGGAGGAAAAAGGGGGAAGCTTTCAAGCCTGAGAACACAATCCCAACTGTGAAATACAGGGTTGGCAACACCATGTTGTGGGGTTGTTTTGCTGCAGGAGGGACTGGTGCATTTCACAAAATAGATGGCATCATGAGGAAAGAACATTATGTGGAAATACTGAAGCAACATCTCAAGACATCAGCCAGGAAGTTAAAGCCTGGGCGTAAATGGGTCTTCCAAATGTCATCTCTGCTAATAAGTATCAAACTACAAATGGAGATTACAGAAACAATGAGTTGATTAATCAATTATTTGATCAACAGACAATGACTCAATGGCAATATTTGACAAATTGTTCATCTTTCAAGTCATTTATTGAGTTAAAGTTTCTGGTTCCAGCTTCTCAACTGTGAAAATGTGCTGCTTTGGACCGTTGGTCGGACAAAATAAGCAATTTGAAGACACCTTGAGCTCTGGGAACTTGAGTTTTTTTTTTTTTTCACATTTCATTTAAAATAAATTGCACATTAGTGAAGTTAACCTTACACAGTGACACTTCTTTTCTACAACAAACTAAAAAGTTAGATGGCAATTTGAAAAATGAAAGACACAAAGAATATACACAAACAGTGGTTTATTAGTAACAATTGATTATGAAAAAACAATATTTATCCAATAACATAAATATAGAGAAGTAACTGTTGTCATACAGTACAGGCTTATTGGTAAACTCAATTCACTGTTTTACTCTAACTATCAAAAATGCACATCAAATGAGGGCACTAGTGGTTGTTTTTTCATATCGGTCATCTAAGGCTTTGTTACATTAATTTTATGGCAAAGTTCCATCCATTACATAAGCATTTCATCCATTACCATGTCCCATTTAATAAAGTAGAAACATTCATTCTGCCAGACAACATCAATTCATTGTGCTCGGTTTTTGGAAACCACCCAAAGGAAAAGAGAAAAAAAAAAAAACCCAGTGCAAACACCATTAGCTCATTGGTAAACACAAAATGCTTTCCTATGTCCGCCTTGCTCACACATTCTGTGTCCAGACTCCACATAGTGTTTATCACAAGGTTTCTCCAACTGTCTACAATGTAAGGCTGCAGGGACTGTGGCACCAGTGTTATCTAAGATCCTAGCTTCGCACAGGGAGGCTCACAAGGTGCTATATCAAGAAGAAAGAAAATCGTCATAGTAAAACGTTGCATTGGTATTCTAATGACAAGAGTCTGACTGATAATTGGACGGATGATATTAGCTTATTGCAGGTATGTTGGTATTTTAACATCGGCCGATAAGTAACAACTTTATTGAAATTTTTTAATAATAATATAATAATAATAATAATAAATTTTTTATATATGAAAAATGCCCCCTCAGTACATATCGGTCACAATGCTTTAAAAAAACAAACAAATCTAAAGGATGTTTGTTATGCAGTATTATTAGGCCTCTGGTAATGCTGCGATTAGAGCTGAAGCAATTAGTCAAAACAGCAGAAAACTAATCACCAACTGCTTTGATAATCAGTTAATTGTTTAAGTCGTTCATCAAGCACATTTGATGGTGTGGTTCCAGCCTCTCAAATGGATTCGTTTATTTTCCTGGAATTACTTTATATTAAACTGAATATCTTTGGGCTTTGGACTGTTGGTCAGACAAAAAGTACAATTGTCACCTTGGGCTAGCAACACATTTCAAACTTTGAACACTTTTCAATACACACTTTTTATACACCAAAACATTAATCTGTTAATTAAAAAATGGAATCATGAAATGAATCGATAATGAAATTAATCGTTAGTGTTACAGCCCTAGTTGTGATTGAGATTAGTTTAACTATAGAAATTGTATAGTGTCATACAGAAAGGCATGTTAAACAAGGCTCTGTAAAAATGTATGTATTTGTCAGTTTAGTCGTGCATTGCATGTCTGGAATGATTCTCCAGCTGCTGTGACTTCTAGGCCTTAGGTTGTGCACATTCTTGGATTACATATGAAAATATATAATTGTTAACTTTGACTATAATGCACGTACGGTATACAACAGAAACCTGATCCTATTAATGGCAGGCTACAAGACCAGTTTTTTTGTGCTTGCAGTCCAGAAGAAAAATTAGATCCAAATAACAAGAGGGAAAAAAAAAAAAAACTTGTTTCGACAGGCCAAATAACTTGTGTTACAACATGTTCCTGTGAAGTACTGCCCTGCTGCTGCAAATAGCCCCTGTGCATCAACGTACTGGGACGAGCGGCGCTTCCGAGATCACCCGACAGACAGATCCACGCTGTCTGCTGCTCAGTCTGCGTGTGACAGATTCAAGCCAAAAAACAGATGGGGGTGGAGGCCGTCTCGTCAGCTGAGAGGGAGAGTAGTGCTTTGAAGTGGATTGCAATCATTACTTCCCTCCATGTCCCTGGCACACAGGGTACAACAAAACTGTGCTGACAGCCATGGCCACAGAGAGTGCTGCTTGTTTTGCTCTCTTTCTGGTTTTAAATTAGTCTTGTGTTAGTGAGGATCATTACATAGACTGAGTGTGCAAAACATTCGAGGGTAGGGTCTGATTTTAATACAACAATACATACTCTCATGCCCATGACCCACATGAATAATTGTTCGCTGTAATTAGCTCAGCTCAGCAACAAAAGGTGTATTTTTCTTTATTCTAGTTGTATCAAGCCATGTACATAGTTTAGGTCTTAAAACATCCGTGCCTGAGATTTCTGCCGCTTCAAATTATAGTGAGGTTAACTTTGTTTGTCTTGCTCACACCATTAAAAAAAGAACTGCATTAAAATAATTGAGCATATCGGTCATCAGAAAGAGTGTCACAGATATACAGGACAACCTCACGGTCAACTGTCTGCACTGTATCTACTTGAGTCCCAATGAAAACTGTCGACAGTGTGTGCCTGTTTATTATTTGGCTCTTAAAATAAAGTCAGGTCTACTTGTGACCCCTCATCAAAGGTTATGACATCACCGCAGAAAGGAGCTGTGAGCAGGTCAACCAGAGAGGCTTTGCCTTATTGGGCTGTTTTCATTTTAAGTATTTTGAAAAGAAAAGGACAGAAAAATAAACATTGTTTTGTGCAACTTTTTTTTTTTCCCCTCTCTCTTATCCCTTTAATCATCTTTGGATTGTTTCATGTAATCCTTTAATGCTGTGTGTGGCAGAAATCTCAGAGATGGGCATGTCAAAAACAAATCATATAACTATGTGTGTAGAGATAATAATTAAAAAAAAGGCTATTTTGTAATTTAGGTGAACTGACTCTTTAACTATCTCAAATCTGGTTGAAAGTCCTCAAATCTGTGTTTTAAGCGCAATCAACTTAGATTTATCATTTTCACCTGGGTTCATGTAAAAAATATTTCATGGAAATACTATCTCCTCACCTTCCCTACCTTCTATCTTCCACTGGATTGGTGTGATTCATGTAGAGAAACAGAAACTAATCTTGACGATCTCAATATGAGAAACGATTGGACTTACAGCTGCTCTTGTGTAATAGGAATGCATAGGATTTGCAACTTTGTAAATGTGTTGCAAGCTGCCTGTATTCCGTCTTTTTTTTTTTTTTTTTTCCTAAAGGGACCGTCCATTTGTAATGTCAGCCACACAGCTAAAGAGGCCAGGTTACAGAGGGCAAAATGGTAATCACAGTCATGCTGACAGTCTCAGGGGCAAACAGATTCATGTGGGACAGGCTGGAGGGTAAAGACAGGCAGGTTAAATTGTGATGACCTGTTTGGGGCAGAGTTCATTAGACCTGTCATCACTTAATGGACTGTTTGGACGGGTCTCCGTGGCTTGGCAGCATGTCCGTTGGGCAGTCGGAGATGTTGGGGGACTGAGGGTGGCTGCTGGTGAGTGAGGTAATATGGCTTGCTTGTCTTCCTTCCAGCTCTTCATCCTGAGAATCAGAAATACCGTTATTTATCGGTGAAGAGAAGAGGAGTTTTACATTTACAGGACAATTACATTTCATTAGAATAATATTCTACACATCCTATCAAATTATAACGCTACTATGAGGCTAATGTGATGCATGGCCCTGATTGGTAATTTCCTTTCATTTTGTTCACATCCTGTTTTTTTTTCCATAAAGCCCAAGTTTCGATGTATGTACTAACACAGCTTTACAGAGTCAGGCTGAGACATTAGCTCTATACCAATGTCACTTGACGTTTGTGCTCCCTTTTGACAACTGATCACAATACCTTAATTCAACATATACGAGACATTGTAACAACCACTGACATTTGTCTCAGTTTTGTGTTTTAGTCTTTAAAACCTAAATAGGAGACCCTTCACTTTACCTATAGCTTAGCAGGTTTTTTTTAACACTTCTAGACAGACAGTACAGTTATTCCAGTAGAACTGAACCCTTTATAGGCTGGAATATACAATAATTTCGGGAGTTTTTGGTCTGATTTGGAAAACATTCAGGGCTTAATCAAGTCCTAAGTACAGAAAATCCTATTATTTTTGACTCAAAGTCATAGCCCTACAACTTTCCAAGGCCCTGGCTTTTAACTAGAACTAAAACATTTCATTTTAGTTTAATTAGCTGACCCTTACAGTGTCATCCAATTAATTTTAGAATATATTTTATGAGATTATTGATCACTTTAAAGTATGAATTGGCCTGGCTCCAAGATGATAGTCTAAAAGTCATTACAATGTGGAGGAGTATACATTTACAGTTTGACACACTTGTTTTAGACAAGACTAAAATGCAAAAGCTGCTGAAGTGCTGCACTTAGTAGGAGAAACCCCATCATGTCCACCCTCATATCTAGTGGTTCGCACCGTGTCACCAGTCTCCTCCCCTTCAGTGTGCTCTCCATAGCGATTGTATAGCTCCATGTCAGATAGAGCGCTCTCCAATGCCTCCTCTTCATAGTCAGTGTGGTAGTCTGACTCCTCTAAACGAGGGAAGGGGAGAGCAGAGGACAGGAAGGAAAGAAGCACATTGTGGGTGAATAAGTGGAATATGCGGTGCACAGAAGAGGTGACAAATGAAAGTGGGTGTGCAGGTGAATGAGTCAGAAAAGGAAGAATGTGCAACATTGTGAAAAGAAAAACAGGGCAGTTAGACGAGTGATGGATGACAAATAGGTTATAAATAGAAGAGAAAGACTGAGAAGGATGGTGATGTCTGAGAGAAACATTGGTTGTTGTATTAGGTTGCACTTAAAAATATAATTTTTATATGTTGCTTATTTCTATTTCATTGCAAATACTGATGGGAAGTAAGACCTTTGCAAATTGTCCAAACCTGCATGTGTACAGTATAACACATCATTGCTAAAATGTATTCTGCAGGAAAATAAAGAGTGAGCACAGGAAAACATGCCTTATCCCTGACACTGTGTGTACACATGTGAGAGTGTTGGAGCGTGTGTCAGTAGTTTTACCATCCACCAGAGGAGGTTTGACGGGCTCAATGCGGGATACAATTTCTGCCAGGTCAGTGAAGGAGGCATTGGGACACGTTACCACCTGAAAGACACACACACACCACACACCACACACACACACACACACACACACACACACACCACACACACACACACCACACACACACACCACACACACCACACACAGTAAACTGCTGCAGCAGAAAAAGAGACACAAAATCTATCCAGATAACATTTACAGAGAAACACATTATAAAACATTAAAGGAAACCAGGGAAAGCTAGGATGCATCTTGTCTAAACTGGATTGGGTTTACGAACTTTAACTTTTACTGTTTGTTTTGGTTCTTCAGTGTAATATGCTGGTGCTGTTACATTTAACCATTTAATGATTCCTGAGTACTGCATTTTTCTTGCAAACGCTGTTTATTCTGGATCTTAACTTCTTCGTCATTTTCCTGATTTTGTTTTAGCTTTGTCCACACAAGCTTTTGAAACCTTTTGTTTTAAGATCTCTGACACCACATTTTCTCTTTCCCTGTTTTGCATTTTGTGCAACTGAACATATTATGTGGACTCCATCACAGGAAGAGATGCATTATTTCCCCTGAGAGTTGCACCCTACTGTAGCACCTCAAAATAGAAAGGCACTCATTAACGGTCTATGTGGGATGGCTATTGTTTTAAAGATTTATTTTTAAGACTTAAAGATTACAGTTTCAAATCTGCAACCGTGACTGTAGCTCCATCTTTCTATCCACAATTGCTCATTTGGTTCATTTGCTAGTTTGTTGCTTTGGGGCTGTAACAGCTTTTTTCAATATCAACCCTGCTATTTTCCCTTTCATCCTTCCTAATGTTGTTGCTCAAGTTGGGAGTAAATATCTCATCTTTCTTCATCATTCCCTCTCCTCCCTTGTTTCGTCAGGTCCTTTGTCTTTTTTTGACCTTGCCGGGGGACAACTGGGGTTCCGTAAATCTGTTTCTCTGTACTTTAGGCGCAGTCTGATGCATAGTTGTAATGTTATTGCTTTAACAGCAGTGTCGCCCAAGGCTTACAAACAATGACAATGAGGACATACTGTAGAAACAACAACAAGAGAAAATCAATCAATATGGTAAAGCAATGTCGTTGATTAAAAATACATGGACTGCAAATGAGATGTCAGATACTGACCAATCCCAAGAGGATGTGAATTAATGATCATTTTACACCTCAGACACATTTTCCTGAAAAATTCTGTTTTACGGCTATATTGACTGTAGTGGATTAATACTAGCTATATTGTGCTCATTATGTGTATATGGTTTCTTTACATTGGATATAGTAATGTAGGGTGTTGTTGATGATTTGTGAGATTCAATATAGGGCTACTTATTGATAGTGTATTGAAAGTTCAATATGATTGAAGATCGTTTATAGTGAAATTTGTTGCATAGAAATGTGTTACAATTCAATGCTAGATTTATCAGTGTCGATTTAAGTGTTTGTTTTTACTCCTAAGGAATTTAAAAAATTGAATAACAGGACGGCATGTGTTTGTGAGGTAATTTTTTACCACACAGTTTGGTAGCAAAACCTAGATGATCAAAACAAAATGTGATTATGTGCAGTGCACTTAACTCTCCTTACTCGCCTTCTTGTCATATTTTCTACAGCATTCCCACATTTTTCCCTCCCTCCATTCTTACATTGTTCTTGCTTTGGGTGTTGTGGAAGTCCTCCTGGTGTCTGTCTTTCAACATTTTCTCCACCACTCCACTGCGACCCCACACGTCAAAAACAGTCTTTCCGTGCTGGTATCCCACCTCCTGCATTACAAACACATAGATCAATATAATTTTCTCTACGGATGGGGAAAATCATTAAATGTAAAGTATACATTTATTTAAAATACCTTTATCATATCAGAATTTGTGTGATATTTGTTAGTGAAATACATTTTTTTATATTAACTCATTAAGACAAAGAGATAAACAGCTGAAAAGAAAACAATATCAGAATCTCAGGACATCACATTTATCAAACTTACAGCAATTTCATCAAACTTGCCAAACTCCAGAGTCCGGTATCTGTCGATTGGAGGTCTGATGTACTCACAGTAGTCACTGTTCTTCACAGACTCCAGCTGCCTGACACAGCATACATAGGCCAGTCGAGTTTGAATCTCTGCCATGTTCAACACCTAAGACCCGACAGTGCAGAAAAGAACATATGCATCACTGAAAAACACCTGCAAAAATATCCTCATTGTTATTCATAGGACTCATTTACTTTTACGCATCCTCGCACAGTCTGCTGTGTCTTTATTTTTAATCAATCCATTACCTTTACTTTCTCCGCTAGGGGGTTGAAGCGTTTCCATAGCAGCCACCAGCCTGAGAGGGAGTCGCCATAATTAGTGAGGTTGGTTTCATCCCGGCTGCCCACGTCAATAGCTATCACCACTTTGGCCCCCATGGAGCGCGCCACATCAGCTGGGAGAAGAGGAAGAAACATAGACAAAGGTGGGGCAGGAGAAGAAAGCTTGGTGAAATAATCCCACAGAGATGGTAAAATTGCAAAAAAAATAACACAATTAAGGCACCGGGATAAAGAATGCCAGACTACTAAAACTGATAACAGTGACTGTAGTCAACCTGGCAGGTTGTTGATGTAGCCTCCGTCCATCAGCAGGTGTCCATCTTTGGGGTCACAGAGAGGAGGCAGATACCCAGATAGAGACATGCTGGCTCGGACATACCGCCACAAAGAACCTAAAACAAAAACAGGCAACCCTTTTTAGTTTTATGCCTATTAAGCACTACGTATTTAATTACAAGCAACCAACCTGAACCAACAGAAATTTAAACTCATCAGTGAGACTGATAAAAAGGGTCAGTTCACCAGTCAGGACAACGGTGGCAGAAATCTATCTGCATGGCTAGAGATCACTTTAGGTAAGAAAACTTTCTTCTTCTTTTTTTGTCATTTGGGTGAACTGACTCTTTAAAACAACAAGAACAAAGGATTCTTTCAGATAAAGTTAATAAAAAGAAACCTACCATCAGTGTGTACTCTCATGGCCGAGGCAGTGATGTCAGTAGTGATATTGAAATATGGTATCCAAAGGTCCTGCATATACAAAAGGTTACATCGAAACAGATACATTTACTTATCCTGCACCACCAACAGACATTTCTGGATGTTTATATGCTAAAACTAATCAATTTCCATGTATGTGCTCTCTTCCAGTAGTCCCCATTTCACTTAGGAGTTTGTTAAACTCATCTCACTCACTTCAATCTGCTTGCTCTTGAAGACATTGCTGATGCTGGAGTTGAAGGCAGCCCCGGAGAACATGGAGGTGACAGGGTACGTCAAATCCAGAACCTTTTTGAACACTGAAGTCATTTCCTACAGGGGAAGAAACAGAAAGAAAGATTAAAAGGATGTTGCATTTCTGTAGGGGAAAGAAGCAGTTTCCTGTGTTACAAAGCAGAATTAATCACTCAAAATTAAAGTTTTATCTTGTTTCTCCTTCCTCCTGGTCGTGTCCACATTCTTTTCTTAGTAATTTGAAAAATTCACTCCTCATAAAAAAAACAACATTTGAACAGAGCAAACTGTCCTATTCTGACTCTTTGGACAAGGACAAACATTTTATTACAAAAGTGGTTCTTTTAATTGGATATGAAGAAGCAGCAACCCAGCCGGCTGCTTCTTGATGGTTTCAAAACCAAGGACCGAGCCAGGAGAGGAGGCGCCGGACACACAAGGTGTTTTTCATTAGGCCAACGTATGCTTCCTGGCCTCTCTTCTCCCAGGACCTGGAAATCGTTTTCCCACTGCCATCACGAAGGATCTGACAACTGCTTAAATGCACCTCGAGGAGAGAGGAGGAGCTTAGATCATATCCTATGCAGAAGTCTTTTATCAAGAGGCGGGTCGTGATGTAAAAATACCTCCACATGTGGCACACAAGTGCTATTTGTATGTTTGGCATGATTGACTACCTAAAATACAATAGCCTGTCCTAAACAAAATGCAATTCTTAACGTTTATTCCTATAGCCATGTACAGGGATCTATAAATATTCAGGTAATATAATAGAACACACTTACATGGTGAGATGCAAAGTGTGGTGGCATCACACAAAGTAGCAATTTTTTATTTTACAATATAATCATGTATCATATCTAACAATATAACAATGTACATATCTAGATGATTACAGCAAGGTTTTAGAATAGTTTTTAAATAACTACATTCGTACCAGGCGGTCTGACAGGTGATACAGCTGCACCATGTCATTAGTAACTGACAACGCTTAAGACTAATGCTACGGCAGCTTCAGCTCCTCCGTCCCTGATTCTCTTCCTTGCATTTCTCTCTCATGCCCTTGCCGGTAGGAGCTGAGACGCGAGGAAAGGAAGCGAGGAGACACGTTAACATAATGAACAGCACCCACTGTGGGAAAACGAATCGTACCACATGCTCTGCCTGCAGACCCCGGCACGGAGCAGGTGTCTCAAATTAGCCGTCATGGATGATCACGGTATTAAAGACATACGGATGAATTTCATTATTATCATCATTACAACAATCAGCACAGAGTGGTGAAAAGTAGAATAAAAGCCTGAACTTCATTCAAATTCCAAAAAGTGCAGTTAGAAAGAGTCTCCTTTAGAAGGACAGACTCGCAAGCAGAAAATTGAAACCTTCTGATAAGTGGGATAAAATTCAAAAACCCTATTTGATAGATTTGAGATTAAAATATTGACTAATACTAATATTTATCTTTATTACAACACTAATGTTATTTTGACTCTCACCATTGCCCATTCTTTGGCCCTCATCCTCATGCGGCTGTAGCTACGGTCCTCAGCATAAAGTGCCCCCATCAGGGAACCGATAGAGGTGCCACCAATGAGGTCCACTGGAATGCCGGACTCACAGATGGCTCGCATTACCCCCACCTGGGAACAGCCCCTGTACACAAGGATGGAGAAATTTTACTTTTTAACCACAAATACTATGTTCTTTTTCTAAATATATATAAAAGTTGATGTCCTTGATTATAGTACACTTTGCCATGAACATAAGAGGAAGACAGTGAGTGAGGCGGCGTTACCTAGCCCCTCCTCCCCCTAGGATAATGGCAATAGCATTGCCCGTGAGGACTCGAGCCAGGCGGGAGAAGTCTGAGTGGCGGTCTGCTGGCTTCTCAAAAACACGTTGATACAACTCCAACTGGGGGGGAAAAAAGTGGAAATGAGTGTGATAAAAGTAGAAAGAATTAGTGAGATGATGCAGAAAAGGCACAAAGGAACGTGCTTTGATATCCAGATGAGAAACGAGAGAGAAAGAGAGAGAGAGAAAAAAAAAAAACAACAGTCCTACCAGCTTGGGCAGGCTCCTCTTGGAGAAGACCCTTCGGGGACAGGAGAGGTGGAGGTGTCGGGAGATCCAGCTTCGCATGTTGAGCCAGTCCACGGTTCCTTTGGGCGGGGGGCCGTCTTCTCTGTGCAACAGCACCAGCTGCTTCTGGGCACGCACTGCACTTCCTTCCAACATACGCTCCAGCTAGAGGACATAGAGCACAGATGTTTTAGAACATTTCATTCTTCCCTTTTTCTTCTATGTGCTTACACAGAGGTTTGAATGCTAGCCCAGAAAAACACTGCAAACTCGTGACTACTAGTGAGCACAATACCAGCACGTGTGCAGATACAGTGTGTGATGATTGATTTTTTCGGGGTCAAATCAATGATCAGGAGGACTCTTTATTTTGAAATATACCATTATATGTGAAAAGATTGACTGTAATTAATCATTATATTAGCAAATTTTGGGTAGCAGGTTGAGCAATAAGAGCAGAATAGGAAGGTTATCTAAGAAATAAATGTTTTATTTTCACATTATATTCCTCCTGGCTGAGGCAGGTTTATTATATGACACTCCTGAATTAGCAGTCTTAAAAAAACCCTAAAAAGTCTGAGAGGAAGGTCAGATCTGCCACCTAGTGAACAGGCCCTCTGTTTAGTGTGCGTGCAAGGTGAGAGGGTGTTTGTGTGCGTGTGTGCCCTGAAAGATGAAATCAACCCAGAGCTATGACTCATTCTGAGCCTGAGCAAATATCGATCCATTTCTCCCACCATCTCCTGTTAAACGGGGATACATTCCTTACTTTTCTCTGTGCCCATTTTCCCCTTTGAAGCCAATTACCTTTCCTTCATCAGCTGGACGAACACCTCCTTTCTTTCCAACCCCTCCCCTCTTTTCACAACATCCATCCACCTTTTGCTCATTTCTGCCATATGCCCAAGGGTCAAATACAAACCTTTCACAGCCTGTGTGACCATTAAGTTGGTAAAACCACTGCGTATGACCATGATTCAGGAGCATAATGATCAGCACGGAGCGTAATGTCAAATCACACACTACCGAGATCTTTGCCTGGTGACACATTTGCAGACCGAACAAGACCTCTGTTAATAATAAGAACTGGTGTGACGATTTCTCAGGAGAGAAAATCCTACCAGTTCAATCTGGTCAGATGTAACACAGACCAATAACCCATGATGTGTTTATTTGCCTCCAGCCTTACAAGAGGTTCAGATTTTCAGTTCCAGACAACAAAACCCATCTAGTGCTGTGAAGGTTAGTCGACAAAGACATTTATCAACAACATTGTTTAAGAGTAGTAAAAGGATAAGTCTAGCGTTGTTCTTACAGTCAAGAAATCCCACATTAAGACAAAAACTAACTAATGAATTGATCCTACTGACAATAATTATTATTATTATGTGTATCCAAAGACTGATAGGAGTTTATTTTTCTGTGCAAAAATTACAAACACATCAATGAGCCACACTGTTGCTCTGGGTGACATGGTCCTTCACCTTCAGGAACATGGGCACTGCAGTTTATTTTGAATTAACCCTGAGTATTTACTACACCATCCTGCTGCCGTAAATACTCTATACTAGCTCACCAAATCTGCCACTGTAAATAGTCCCAAACAAATACAATAATTACTTCTGTTTGAGTAACATTGGCTTTAACACTACATTCCCCAACTGTTTTAGGGAAGGAAATTAAATTAAAGGATCTGAAATCCACACAGGTGTCTGCCTGATTAGACCTCTAGTCAGGTAGTCTGGGTGAAGCTATGCTGGGAATTACATGATGATGTCCTGCCCTGCCCTAATTGGTACGTGAGGAGGTGAAGATGATGTCAGTCAAGCACTGTTTGTACTAATAAATGTAATAAAGCAGTGACAATCTGAGACCTTTTTGACAAGAATTGATCGTTATTGGGTGAAAAAACGTCTCCCATCGTTAATCAACTTGTCAAGTAATTAATGACTAAATTGCTGCAGTTGTGAACGGCCTAGGGTGTACAGATGTTTTAAAAGTAAAAACAATTCTTTCGCTGGTTTTAAAGTAATTTGAGGTGAAGAGCCAACGACAAACTGAGGAATTCAGAAAGTATTGAGAATCAGACTACTGCATTGTTGGTTTTTGGTCTTTTCATGCGATTTATTGATCACAAAAAACAGAGGTGAGGGGTCACTTGTATAGAAAAATGACCTAAATCTGCTTTAAAGGAGGTTTATAGTGAGTGTCACCTCATTGCTTAGCTGTACAGCTCTTAACTTCACTGTTCTAATACCCTCTCACCGCTCTCACAGTGTCATTTTCAGCCTCAGCAAGCAGCTATTTTCAGAGAAAAAGCTCTAAAAACCCACTGTACACTAGCTGCTCAGCAACAAACAGCCGACAGACAAAGTTGGTGACTATCTGGTGAACATAGTGGAGCATTTGGGAGCTACAGTTGGTAGAGTAAAAGTAAAAGTTGGCCCCTTCACCATTTTATTCAGGTTTCATAGAACAAACAAATAATTCTCACCTCCCCAACGGCAGGGTCCTGCTCTCCTAGTCCCACGATAATAATGCAGTCAGCCTGGCGGATGCACCGCTGTGTCCATGGGGTCAGTGTGTAGTCCGTCTGGTAAAGAACTATGCGATGGATGTCTTCCTGCTGGCCCAGCCAGCTGGACAGACGGTACTCGTGGACACTGAAGAGGAAAGGAGTCCATTAATGACGGGCGGCATTGCCTAGCTGGCAGCACACAGCAGATCCATTTTTCTTGCTGTGCCAAGAAAGCATACTTGAACTGAATTTAATGAGTGAGTCAGAAAGAAAAAATGAAATGGACCAACCAGTGGTATGACAAAGGGAAAGATTAGGCGACGGAAGGTTTAAGACAATCATTTTACTTAGCGGTGCAAATTTTGACTCTGTCACAAAACATACCTGTCTAGTGCTGCAGCTCCAAGTCGCTGTTTGATAACATCACTGGTCAGCAGAAGAGTGGGGCCTGTGTGTGAAACTTCACAGTTAATATGTCTGGTTGAAGAACTTGAGCAGACAAGACAGGTGACATATGACATATCTTAAGGTGCTGCTACTTCTATCTGCAGTTTTAAGAAAAAAAATTATAGTTTCTTAAAAATGAATACAAACTCAGTAAGTACTCTCGATGTAACTTCCTTGATTGCTCTAGGGAGACCTTTAATCAGATCAGATCTTTTTAAGTCAAACATGCACCACTTTGGTGCTATTGGTGAAGCGCTTTTAATCAAAATATTACAATAAAACAAATCTAAAAACACACATAAGCCTGGTCTCTCGCCCCTCTTACTGTCACTCCCTAAAGCCTTAAATGCTCTTGTTGTAATGAAAACCTAATTCCTTTATTCAATATGAATTCACTCTGGTTATCTTATTTGACCCAAAGCACACACAGAGCAGAAGAAAGGAGCAGTCCTGAGAACACCGTCCCCGATTAACGACTGGAGTAAACAGGACATCTAAAATGAATCTACAAGCAAAGAGCCAGAGCAGTCAAGTTATAGCAAGGAGTACCTAATACAAGACAATCAGACACGTCACACGCCAGTTTGTGTCCATGCCTGTTATAGCTGTAAGGTGACCAGATGTTTATAAAGACCAACCAGGATCAAAGCTCTGACGTATGTGTGGAGGTAAACAGTGAAACCTACGCGAGGTACATTTGAGCTCCTGATTATTTTTTTCCCTTACCTATTGCAATGAGTGCATGCTGCAGCTCCAGCGTAAAGGCAGTGAGAGGTACCTCTTCCGATACAGGTAGGACTGTCACAGTGGAGAGGTTGGAGGCTGGGTTTCCCACATCCCACTTACTGCCAGGTGTATGGAGGGCCAAACTACGAGCTGGGGACATACAATACATATTAGTAAACCTTCACTTAAACAGTAAGTTGAGAGAAACACCAACACCAGTGGGAGAACCCTTCCCAGCAGGGAGATGCACCTATAGACGCACACACCTGTCAGAGGACCGTTGACCTGCTGGAGGATCTTCTGTCCTAGTAGGTGGATCAACCTGGTGACAACCTGAGAGGCGCAAACATTTTTAAAAAGTGACTTTGTGTTACTCATCAGACCGATACCGTGTACATAGCAATGCTTCATCTGTATTAAAATGTTAAGAAAAGTAAAAAAGAAATACTTTTTGGAACCTTTACCCATATTATTGTCCAGTTGATCAATTATTCAAATGCTCATTGTCAGGGGCTAGGTTCAATCAACTCTTTTATAAAGCTGACCTTTTGGAAATCACTACACGCATATGCTCCGTCTACAAAAAATGAATTGTGTTGAGACATCAGTTCACCGAACCTGTGGGAACTTCCTCTTGATGGAGCTGAGAGCTCCCTCTGGTAGCTTGGCCAGCTCAGAGTCTCGTACAGCGTGCACTGTGGTGGCTCTGTTCTGATGGGTCAGGGCCTCCACCTGCAGGGACACATCACAAAAAATGGTTCATAAAAAGTAAAAAGAAGCCCCAGTCATTCCTGAACATTACAACACATAACATAATGTACTACCAAATAAATCTTCACTTTGAGATACAGATACTTTACAGAAAAATGTATGTCATTAAAGTGACTGGTGAGCACTGTATTGTTACTTCCATGTATTTCAGAGTTAACTTAAATTTGTATTATTTTTTTTTAAATGAAAAAGAGCTATAAATAAGATCTCATCATCCAGAGTTGACGTCAACACAGCCGCGCTAAATATGTCTCTGAATGTTAGCCATAACAATCTTATCCCCACCCTCACAGACTCTGCAACGACAGTTTCCCTCCTCCAGGTAACAGTAACCATAGCATCCATCAACCCAGGTATTATTAGAAGCATCGTGGCAGAGAACAGCCTCACCACCAGCCAATGGGGAAGTGGGTGAAGTGTAACAAAGTGACTTTGCTTTATATACTTTATCAAAATGAAAAGTCAGAAAACAGTCCTGGCATTAGTTTATTTTTCAACGTTAACCCACGAGGGACAACACCGGGAAACATACGTTAACAAGTGTTGTGTTCTTGGTAAATGTACTGATATGCTGGAAAGTTTAACAGATACTGAATATACATTTCTTGTGTGTTTGGAGCCTGAGAAAAAGGTAAAGTCAAATTTGAAACAAAGGTTTCATTTATGGGTTAGATTTAATGGGGAGTTGGGAGTAGATATAAAGATAATACAGATTCCAATGATATATTGATTATCTCTATTTAAATTCAATTTCAGCTGGCTGTTTTGTTACTTTTTCCCCCTTAAGATTCATAAGATGAAGTTAGTTGAGTTTTTATTGACTGGCAGTAATAGTAGTCTCATGGTTATGCATACTGGCAGCCCCTGTTTTAACTGTGCATACTGACAATGAATATGCTATGATTGTGATGTTTAACTTCTGTTAATAACAAACTCTTTTCCTCATGCATATTTAAATCAACCAATTTGTGATAGACTTTGGAGAAAAATTGTTTATCCTGATATACAGTCATTAATATTTATGAGCATATTAATGAGTGAAACAAATCTTAACATGGTGCACACATTCATAGTTTTTCATCTACTATCCACCATCTGTCATCCCCCCTCGCCATCATGGTCCTTACCACTCCAATCAGGTCGCCGCGTCCGTACTCTCCTATCAGCTCCTTCTTGCCATCCTCCTTCATGATTACAGAACGCAGTCGACCACTCAGCACTATGAAAGTACTGTCTGATTTCTCTCCCTGCCTGAAAATATACAGATAACTTCCATTTACTGCAAATATGCAGTAAGCTTATAGAATCTATTTTTAATAATCACATTTTTCCAAGATATATAAAAGGTGATTAGCAGAATACCTGTAAACAGCCCTGCCAGCTTCCACGGCCATCCAGTCGAGAGCAAAGTCTATCTGTCGGACAAAAGACGACATCCTCCTCACCACAGTGTGAGCCACATTCAGCACGACCTTTGGCTCCACACGCATTATCCTAAAATAGACAGGAATAGACATAAATAACAGAAATAGAACGTAAAAGAAAACTAACAAATTATTCTCATTGCTCAACATTTGTTTGTTGAGTGACAGTATGTTGGGGTTTTTTTTGTCTACACTGCCCTACAAATCCGAAACTCATAAACTACATATTCTGCCAAAAATGTGTCATATATTCATAAAATTTCCTACTATAGAAATGTGTAATTTTATAGGAAAAAAACAGCATGTAAAATTTACAAGAACGGGAAAACATAATAAAATCAAACCGCAGTGAGCAGTAGATACTTAAGGCTAGCTAAACCCAATTTTGAGCCCCTGAAGAGGGAATAAAAGTAAACTAAAAAAGTTAACTAGCCTAGCTTAGCAGAGTAGCCTCTGACTCTCGTTGAATTCACTTGATTTCATGTAGTTGGACAACCTTTAAAATCACACTCTTTTATTTATTATCTCCTTATTACAATGAACAACAAAGCTGAAGACGACACATTTTGTTTTCCTAGGACCCTTTATGGTCCAAACAGTCTACAGTTTATTTTAATGCTTTTTAGATTTTATGTATGGTCTGTGACAGTTATAAATAATCAGCATAAAGAGGCATAAAATGAAGGGTTTACAACTTGTATATTTAATATAATTAATATTAATTAATTATTTTATATAAGAGCCTTCAAACCTCGCTGCATCTTTAGTTATTGCTCTCTGGCCTTTGGAAGGCAGTATAGAATAGACTTCATATCTTGAGTGCATATTTCTGCATGAAAGGGTGTGTCGTGTGACTAACTCATAGAAGTGGGTTTTGGAAATGGAGAGGAAGCTGCAGTCTCGCTGGGCTCGAACTGTGAATATGAGGGGCTCTCCGGTCAAGACGGCAAGTTGACCGACAAGCTCTCCAGGGTGTGTCACAAACAGACGTGTCTCCTCTTCACGGTCAATCATCCGCTGGTAAACATGGAGGAGGCCAGAAATCACGAACTGGATGCTCACCTCCTAAAAAAACCAAGAGGAGGGAGAGGAGACTAGAGCACAGATTTTACAGTCTGAAGGTAAATGTCAACATTCAGGTGTGCTATGGGACACAAAGTTAATTATCACAGCATTAGTTCATCATTGATATGTTATGACTTTTAACAAACAATATGGTAAAAATTTTAAATCTTGTTTATCTTGAGTTAAAAAAAAAAAAATGTTGTGGTATTTAATGTGGCATAAATTCTTCTCATTTAGATATGAGAACCGTGAGCTTCATCATCTTGATATCAATACCGATACTTTTATCAATGTAAAATTATATGGAGAGACAATAAATGATCATTTGAGCATGTAAGTTGAGACAAAAATAATTGTATTTAAAAATGTAACGGTTTGCAAATGACACAAAGTCTTGCAAGACATTACAAGTCATCAGAAAATGAGCGGACCAAACTGCCTTATACTTGAAAAGAAAAGATTAAAATCTTATTTGATTTTTTTGTGTAGGCCTTTGTCCTTTGTGAGTGGCTGAGGGTCACATTTGTTGCAGACAAATTAAGCATAAAAAAGGTAAATGGACTGTACTTATATTGTCCCTTTCTAGTCTTCCAACCACCCAAAGTCCTTTATACTACATGCCACATTCACCCATTGACACACATTTGTACAGTGATGGCAAAGGCCATCACAAACTCATTCATATTCATACACCATTGCACAGAATCTCGAGCAATCTAGAGTACAGTATCTAGCTCAAGGACACTTCAACATGAAGCGGGAGGAGCCAGGGATTGAACCGCCAACCTTCTGATTAGTGGATGACCTGCTCTACCTCAAAAAGGTTGAGGTCAGGCATTTGAACAAGTAGTACTGTGCTGAAATACCATAAATAAAAGCAGTAAAAATGTTCTTGTTGATGCAAGTAAACAAGTTTAGCACATAAAAGACCCAAGCTTCTACCAGTGAACCTGGTCATGAACATTCGTCCCTGCAATGTCTCTACACTGCTACAGGGGTGACATAAAGGACAAGAGCGAAAATGGAAAAAGCCCTCCATTAAATCTTCAGTGTCATGAAACAGAAAAGACGCTGTAACTGCTTTGTAAGCTGTTCTAACCTGGTCTCCCTGTCGAGCCACCACAGAACCAGCCTTGACTTGATGGAGGGTCACTCTGCCTTCGAGTAGAGTGGGGTCCTACAGCAGAAAAAGAAAATGTTTGACCAAAATATATTCAGAATAATATAATAGCGTCTTTTCTGATACTCTCCCAATGTATAAGGCCTACCACCGTAATATATCCAAAAACATGGATCCGAATTTTTACATGAAACGTGTATATTTATGAACCCCTAAAATATTTATACGAGCTGATGTTCACCTGCAGCTGGATGATTCCAAGCAGGTCCTTCTTAGCAGCCTGGAAGATTGTGCTGCTCTTACTGAGGTAGATGGCATCAGAGTGCCCCCCGCTGTCTGTGTAGTGAAACACTTCAGACGGTGTGTGCTGCATAGTCACACTCTTCTTCAGACTGGACTACAAACACAGGCATAAGAGAGAGACTAATGAGGAAGAGCAATATAAGCATAGCAGTATAGGATGCAGTGGATGCTGGGATATGGTGTCCCATCTAGACAACTCAAATTCTGATTCAGTGTAAAGGAGAGACTTACTTTGTGAGTAACGGGACTGGATGGAGCCTCATCTATCGTGACTCGAGCTCGTTCACAAGCCATGTTCAGGTCATTACCTGTAAATCAGGACAAAGGAGAAGGAATATGAGCTTAAGTATTATGTGTGTGTGTGTGTGTGTGTGTGTGTGTGTGTGTGTGTGTGTGTGTGTGTGTGTGTGTGTGTGTGTGTGTGTGTGTGTGTGTGTGTGTGTGTGTGTCCTTGCTTTCAGATCAGTGACTGCGATAAGTCTGTGCAGGAAATTAATACCGACATATGCCATTTGGTGATCGCTTATGTCCAAGACCTACCTGCACAGTCGGTGGGCATCGAGATGGATCGCTGCTTCCTGTAGCTGCTTGAAGGGCTATCCTTCGCACCATCTGTTTATTGTAAAGTGAATTGTCAGCACTGGTTCAGTCTTAACACAACACAGAGCAACATTTTAAATGTGCGTGTGTTTAGAATAATGTGTGTGCGATAGCGTGACCTGTCTCAGTGGGACTCTCCGTGGGCCCAGCGGGTAACTCGTCCTGGAAATGCAAACGGCGAGTCGTCTTCGCAGAATTCGTCTCTGCCATCACACTGTTTATATTGGACAAGGGCACCACCTGACTCTCCTGTCAATAAGGCAACAAAACAGATCCGGTAACAGTCCACATTTCAGTCAGTCACGACTACAGCAACATTTTGAGTAACTATTCAGTAATTTACATTATATAATCATAATGGATTTGAAAAGAAAAAAGATATCCAGTGTGGGACACTATATTTTTACTAAGCCTTTACAAATTGGCAAAATGAATTACCTTTCACATATTTCCACCAAAAAAAGACAAAATCAAGGAGTATTTTTGATTATTGTAAAGTCAAAGGCAAAAAAGGGTTAAAGGTTACTGCCCTGCCCACCCTTTCTGTGGAGGGGTATAATCACTCTTATTCATTTTCACTGAGCTTTATGAAGGACCGAGTTATGATACTGTGCTTAATGTTGTGTGAAATTAGCTTGCATGTGTGAGACGGAGTGTGTGTATGTGTCTTTCTGTGCTTGTTTGTGTACAAACTCATAACCAGTGGTGCTTAGGTATTCAATGAGGGCCACTCTGTGTGACTGTGTGTGTGTATACAGACAAATATGTGTGCACTAATTAATTCCCCTCCTACCGGATTGAAGAGCTCAGTTGTTAGACCCAGATAGTTATGTAATGCCAGGAAGGTGACTCTTTGGAGGCGCACCATGATTATCTGCAACACACACAAAATTATACACCGAGGTAAATAGAGCAGAACATATAACACAACACATTGTAGTTACACCCAAATTAGATCAAAATGATTACATTTTATTTTATAATGATGGCCCCGGTACACGACATACCATGCATTTACTGTTAAGACAGTCTGTTACCTGAATGACGCGAACCAGCGTCTCTGGGTATTTCTTAAACACAGACTCAAAGGCCGATGCAGGTAAACGCAAGATGGTGGAGCGAGTTGCAGCCCGTGCCAATACCGTCTTGTATGGCGCTGGGTAACCCTGGCAAAGTCAGGACAAAGCAGTTTAGAAAAGGGAAGAATTAAGTAAAGACAAAGGTGGCCGTCACTAATACTCATATACATCTTTGACTTCACTGTTGATAGCCACCTAATTAGAAGTGTCCATGGAATAATCAATTGGACTAAGAGCCTTTTTACCTCTCAGTTTTATTATATGAACTTGTACTTGGTGCTTATTGCATTTTAAAACCTGTTAACTGTAAAAATAAACTTTCATGTTTGGATTAGTGATAACTTTCTATGTTTTTGTTTTTTTTCTATTTTGCTGAATTGTCAGAGTTTTAACTAGATGGACAAAACAGGATAGGAAATGGAAACAAAACAGAGCACAAAATACCTATATTAATTACTTGGCACACCAAGATAATAGGTATACAAATTGAGCTGGACAGGAAGTCAAGAATTGACTCTAAACCATGGGTAAAAAAATATAAATGGAGAGGAGAAAGAGAACTGAGACAAAAAGGAAAAAAGAGGAGGCAGAGAAGTTAGTCTGATGTGCAGACGGAGGAGATATAAGGAGCTCACAGTGATAATGTCCAGAATACTAAGCAGGCTGTGGACGCTGTCACCTGGGTGCACGTCCTTCACCACTGGTTCTGTACCATCCTAAAAAAACAGGAAACAGGAAATTAAGAAATTACCACCAACACAGTCTTAATTCAAACTTAACTGTAAAGAAACATAAAGTAAAGTAACTAAACTATGCATTGGGATGGCAGTCATAAGCCAGCAGCAGACAACAATACACATTTAAATACAGGTGTATATACAGAACCATCAGTTTTATTCTACTCCTTGTGTTGGTAAATAGCAGACTCCATCTAGATTAATGTGGCATACTGCATCTCTCCCTCTTTTTTCCATGAGCTATGCACATGCGCATTGTAAAGTAGAGGACAATGAAACAGTCATTACATCGAGTAAAGTGTGCATATGCCCTTGCTTCACACTTCATTAAGATGAAATTTCACAAGCGTTAATGATCAGAGGCACCATTACCGATAACCTGTCCCAGTTTTGTATAATGTATCAAAAACAGCACTGGGATTCATGTTTGTTACAGTTATTAAACACATCTCAGTCTTACTGACTTACTTTTCCAGAACAAAAACAAGAGACTTGTAGATACAATTTTAAAGCTTCTCTATTTGAGATGTTTTTTTATATTAACAATTGATCAAATGGCTGCGTGTAATATGATAGGTGAGTAACTAATAAAATGTTAAAGGGCACAAAACCACTATATGAAAAAATTAAGTTTCTCTGAAAAACAAACATGCTATCTACATACATTCTCCTGGATGCAGAGCTCAAGTCGTCCATCCTGGACCACGTAGATGCTATCGTCATCATCTCCAGGCCTGAACAGACCTTCACCCTCCTGCAGCTCGATAAACACCATGTGTCGGCACAGCTCTAGGAACAGAGGCTTCTCAAAGTGACCCAAGACCCTACAATAATAAGTAGCAGAACATAATGAAACAAAAGGAAGGAACAATGGGAGAGGCAAAATCTGTTGGACATTTGTCTACCTGACATTCTTCAGCATGTAGAGGACCTCAGAGGGCAGGTTTGAGCTCTGCACATCAAACTCTGTTAGGTCAGCCTCCAGCAGGGAGGGAGGAGGTTCCTTGGGCTGCAGGGTGGGAGGATCTTTACGGATTCTCAGGATTCTGTTGACGGGCACAAAAATAAGGCCGAAGAATTGTTTTCAAGGTTTCACTTGCACACAGACAAACATAATTTAAAGAGTATTAATGGAGCATACTTGCGAGCTATGCTTAGAACTTTGGTTCTTTTGCGAATGCGCTGCGGTTGCTTTGATACTGAGGTAGAGTTGGGGGGAGGAATCGCGGACAGCGTCTGGACCTAAGAAAACAAACACATTCAAGATTTTTAAGTTTGTTGTTGTTTACTGCAAAGACACAAATACATTTTGTGTGAATACTCAGGTGTAGACCTAATTAACAGAAACAGGTGGAGGACCTGCATTCACTACTAAGCTGTGTGCAAGCGTGCAAGTAATTTTCTGCCTAACTATATCAGAGTGCATTACAATGACTGGAGCCTTAGTGGTTATATGGACAGGGAAATGTAGAAATTAGAATGTTACACAGCATAATCTTTTTTGCCTATTTACCTCATTTATAGTACTGAGATGAATCTACCTGGCTGTAAATGTTTGTGTACAAGTGTGAAACAGAAATGAAAATAATAGAAAAAACCTTTCGCATTATCTTCCTTCCATAGAAGAGCACTTTATCTCGTTTTCTGAAGCGGTAGTGAGGTACACCGGGCTGGTGTTCACCTTGTCATAGAATCCAAAAACAAGATGCATATAAAGCCATGTTAAGACCACATTCTGAAGAAAATTAAAAACAAAACCTTATCATTAGAGCTACACAAAAAAATAATAAATTTGTGTTACAGCATTAGAATAAGTATAAAGTTCAGGAAGGGTGACTCACGAGCAAGCTTGAATCTCCTATAAAGAAAGAGCACCACAATCCCAATAAGTGAGACGGCGACTGCAGCTCCAATAAGCACACCTGTGAGCTAGAAGACAGACAAGAACAGTGCGACAAAAGTATGGTCACATAAAGGCTCTGCAGTGTAGTTGTCCACAGCATTGGGCAGTATGGCTGCCGGTTCAGAAACATCATCCTTCAAAGTCCAAAGCTGTGCACCAGTTAAATACCACATGCTGATTTTAAGCAGGTTTTGAGTATGTAAGTTAGTGTGTTCAGACTGGAAAAGAGACCAAATAAAGTCATAGTATGGGGCCAATATATTGGATTACTTTCATCGGTATCAATTGGTACAAAAAGTAAATTATCACAACCTGCCCAAAACCACATAATCTGGCAGCACTGTGTGCAGGGCAATGCTTTCCCTGCTTATTAAAAGCATTGGCTGTCAATTAATTGTTACTTCATACCATGGTGGTCTGCATCCTCTCCTCCAAAAACTGTTGCACTCGTGCTCCAAATTCATTCTTGCTGTTCACCAGAACCTCCTAAAAAAACACAAGTTAGATGAGCAGAGTTTCTCACCAACAGCTTTCCACTTCCACCGCTATGCATCTGTTTCACACGTCTGAAAAAAGAAATAGTGGCGCTTACTAAACTGCTCCAATTGCACAAGTCTCCATCATTCCCTCCTTCGCACGCCATCCTGTAAGACAAAGAGTGCTAATAAATACTACGCCTGCAAACCAGCTGCTGAGGCTTGGGTGGAACCGCACAGGAACAGTAGCAGTGTGTATGTGAGGAGCTTTAATAGCATGGAGGGGTCGCAGGTTGTTGGAAAAAGGGGAAACTATCAAAAGAGGAACGTGGATTTGTGATTGATCAGCATGTTTCGCCTTTTACCCTCATCCTCTGGCTTCGTGTTAACAAGTAAACGACGAGCTAGTGTAATAAACCAGCAACAAAGTGACTGACGGATGATTTAAAGTGATTGATCAATACAGTCTCAGCGTTAGCTATAGCTTGATGCTAGCTAAAACAACACTAGCTAGCAGCTGGCTGACTAACGTTAGCTGTCTTTTGCCAGTAATTAAAGATCGCACATCAACCTCACATCTTAAGCACTGTGAGAAAACAGAAAAGATTAGTCTTACTTTTCGGCGATTTGTGCTGCTTCAAGCCGGTAACATCGCAAAAACAGTCGGTGCAGCAAAGTTAGCAGGCAGCTAACAAAGTTTTCTGTACGCTGTCACTTACTTAGCCCCGCCCACTTTTCTACGTAAACCAATCGAGTTTTTTTTATGTCTGCTGTTGCCATGGTACCGTTTTAAAGCATTTGTCCAATCAGGAACCGGCTAGGTACTTCCAGTCTTCCTGTTTACAGCAGTAAAGGAAAGCATCTCCTAACAAATAGGTCTGCAGTGTTTGCACAACAGTTTCAGGAAAGGAGTCAGACTTTATGTCAGTAGCGCAGTATATGGACTATAATTATTGTTATAAACTAATCTTATACGAAAGCTACAGTGGCTGATGAGTACAATTACTCAAAACTGTGGGTTCAAAATGCCGATGTGCTTTTATTTTAGTGGATTATTTCAAATATATGCTACTTTATATATCTACTCTAATTATATACTGTTCATCCTCTTCTCCGCTACATTTCAAAAGAAAATATTGTACTTTTTCACTCCACTACAGTTATTTGACAGCTGTAACTTTACTAGTTATTTGTAGATTAAGATATTAAAACCTATGATGCATTGTTATACATATATATACATAAAGTAAACTTAACACTACCTTTACAAGTTACAGCATTTAAATGCTTCTTATATATTAATGCACTAGTGATGATAATCAAATGAATGTATAATAATAAAGGGTATATAAGATAGGATATATAAGTTACTTACTATTATGATGTATAATACATTTAATGTATCTCTATGAATCATTTAAATCTGATCTGAGCTTTTATTGAACTGAGCTTATCCAAAATGTGTCAACAAATTGATTAGGTGTTGTGCTCAGTTCTGCCCCTCAGTCTTCTGTCAGGGTGAAAAATCTTTTATCAAAAAGAAATGATCATCACTGATGACAACTTTTCGAAAAATGTATGAACTGAGCAGCAGAGAAGTAAAAAATTTAACTTCTAGGCCAAATACTGTATGATTTTTTTCCCCCTTAGATCTAAATATATATTGTTTTCACTTTAATGATACACGTTATTGTAGACTCACCCAATACTCATACAATCAACACCAGTGGAATATTTTCACATAGCCTTTAATATTGAATATCAAAACATCTTCACTCAGTTAAATTAAATGTATGTCAAAGTTAAACATGACTGAGATACATAATTTATTTTCAGAAAATCATTAGGAGGACGATCTTTATTATATATTATATTATATTATATGATATATATTATTATAATTATGCAAAGGGGTGTTTTAATTTTCACTAAGAGGAGCAATGTTCCTCGTTTGTTTATTATCATTAAAAGACACTTTAACAGCTTTCAAGTCTGCTTTATCTACAGCCAATGCCAACTGTGTTTTATGTTTATTTTAACAACTTTCTGAACATGTCAAATATTTGATTTGAAGTTGTATCTGATTTTATGTAAAAAATGAATTATGTAAATACTTAGACACATACATGCATGTATAATGGGATAAAATAAATATTTTCTTGGATTTACAGTGCTTTTTATAACTCTTACTGGGGCTGAATAACAAATCCACATCAGTACAATCACAGCATACAATACAGTATATACAGTATACAAATACAACTTAAGCAACTTTTTATTATTGATCATACCATTGCAAACAATTTTCATTAGCCAGGCTCAATCATGTACAATAAATCATGTAGTTTTCAGCTTTTCTCTGTCGTTCTCTGCATTTCTCATTTTATTCTTCTTTGTTCTCTGTCTCATTTTATTCATCTTCATCTCTCCCTCTTGATCTATTTGTTCAGGTACTTTGCCACAGAGTGGTAGGCAATGAGGATCTCTGAGTCCTTTGGGCATGTGTAACGAAACTCATCTTGTTTGTAGGCGTTACCCAGGTAACGTGTCAGGCCTTTCAGCTCTGCAGGGATGGCAAAGTCGCGGTACTGCTTACACACCACCTGCAGGGATGAGGGGTTTTAAGATTGTATACTCTTCCAAAAGTCCAGGAACAACTCATTACCACTTTTAACACCTCTTAAAACGGAGATAAAAATGACTAAATCTCCTGAACTCTGCTCACCTTGACAATGTTGAGTTTGGGAAGCAAGTTGCAGTCTGCCAAGCTGAGGGTGTCACCGTCCAGGTAGAGGCGTGAAGACTCAGTGGCATTCGGGTTCTGGTCCAGCTCATGAGGAAGAGGAGTCTCTAGGTACATGTTCAGCATCACCAGAGTTGAAAGAAATTTCTTCTCTAGCACTAAAAGACAGAAAAGGTGTTACAGGCTCCATCATGTGGCTATATCAAAAAGAGATAAAGTTATTATAAATTGTTGAAATATCCAACTAATGCCTTACTGTCATTTAACCCAGGGTTGGGATTCTTTATATATGCTGAGAATTTTCTGAAGATGTCCTCCCCGGCACCGTTGGACTCTTTGTATCGGCAGCACAACTTTGGATACCTGCCAATGGCGGGATAAAAATGTGTGTCAATGCAGTAATTAATTAAAATACTTGAAAATATATCTAACAATCAGCCTGTGTCTTTAAATATCTGAAGGATGCAGTCTACTCACTGTGGTGGGGCTAAGGACTCCTCCAGGAACTCCTCAATCTTGTTAGTGTCAGTTTTGACCTCGTCATTGTAAAGGAGGAAGGGAGGCTGAGAGCCTGGAGCCAAAGCCTTAAGCACATCAGGTGCCCTGCAATGGTTTCACGGTTCAGTATTATAAAATCATAATATTGTTTAATTGCCCTCTCCAACCTCTCCGTACTGGCTCTCTGTATCTTGCATGACTGCGTTCAGAACCTCTCCCCTCGCCTTCAAATGCATCCATGACACTGCAGCTTCATACCTCAAAAAAACTCCTCACTTCATCCTTTCCACCACCCTAGGTTCAACTCAAGGACACCAGCAGAAATGGACAGCTTTGTATAAGTGTGAACACATTTGTCTGTATGTGTTATTATTGTACCGTTATTGTCCCCATTGTACCCTTTTCACCCCGTGTGTGCTGGTATAGGCTGCAGCTTCTCTTAACTATGATGGATGGATGGCTCAGTGCTTGAAATATTGAGTTTTATGCCTTACATCAACCTTTTCTTCACAATCACCTTAATACACAGTGGGTGGGAACAATGAAATGTTTAGCTTTGTCATGACTACATCAGACAGGGAGTTGCTGCGTGTTGTTGTTTCATTACATTGTACCATAAATTGTATGTGTTAATGTGTCAAAGATGGGCTCTCACCTCTTCATGTCCACGGTGGTGAGGGTAAAGTTGGCTCCTTTTAACCAAAGAATCATGAAGAGTCTCTGGGAGAAGGGACAGTTCCCCACACTCTCAGCGTCAACACTGGCCTGGCAGACAAACAGACACTACCTTATAAATACACTTTTCATTTCCTGCAAACGGTGACATTAAAATAATATAAACAAATATGTCTTTAAAATGGGACACTGTTAAGTTCTGACATCAGAGCTGTAATGTATCTGACCAAAGCACGAATACCTAGCACAGGTATTCTTGTCAAGCCTGCTCTGCTCTGAGAGTCTAAACCAACCTCTGAGGAATTTCAAACAGAGGGTTAGGACTGCTTTACACACAGATAGAACAACATATAATAGTATAATAGTGTTTGGTGCCTCTGCTTTCATCATATATTTTCCACTCCAGCCTAATTTTATTGAGTCACAGGCATGTGTGGGAGCAACAGCATTTTTTAAAGGGCAGGACACAGGTTTCCAAACTGGACAGGTCTCTTTTCAGTGGCTACTGTTCACTGCTTTTACACTGATACTGTGCCTAAATAACTAGAGATAGGTATCATGAGATAGTCTTTGAGAGGGTGTAGGGGCTGACATTTTGTAATAAACACATTTTGACTAGCTGAAACAACATGTTTGAAAGTCCCAGACACTATCAGCTCATGGATGAAAGAAAATCAACAAACAAAGTAGCTAAAAAATACTGCAGCAGACACTGGAGCAGGAAATAGTTTTTTTAAATCAGTTTTTGTCAGCTTTTATGAAATTTACTAGAGCACACTAGAGAAGCTACAATATAAATAGGAAACTAGTGATTTAATTATATATGTTAGGCAAAATAACTCTGAGTTTACTGAATGTTTGGTAAATTTGCCGTTACTTTAACAAAAAATAATTAATATTAAGATTGGTTGGGAATGATACACATAAAAACACAAACAGATACTGCTGGTTTGTCCACATCTTTAGGTGTTTTAGCTGGATTTTTTCAAACAAAACACATTACAATTATTGTAGGTCTTACCTTAACGAAGAGTTCAATCTTCGGGGCCTCAGCCATCTTTGTTTCTGTCTCTCTGCCTTGTAATGTCCACCTGTGATGTCTCTAATTGATCCACAAAATGGTTCGTTTCTGTCACTGTCAATGAAAACACAAGTCAGAGATTTTTTATAGTTTATATTGCTTAGTAATCATGACTATTTTTGCAACTCATTCTTTCACTTTCACACACACACACACTGTAATAAGATACTGTAATAAGCTGTAATGTCTATACTCACACTGGTGGTCACAGTGAGCACCGGATGCAAGAACACTGCTTTATCTTCACTCCACCCGTATTTCTTTTTATTCCAGTTCACTTCTCCCTCTCCTCCTTCTCTTCTCTGTGTCTGTTTTTTTTTGTTTGTCTCTCACCACACCTGTCGAGCTCTGAGAGGCAGCCCACACCCCCTACAGCCTACCAGTCAGACCAGCAAATCTGGATCTGTCTGTTTGCTCTCTGTCTCTTTCTCTCTACCAAAATAGGTCAGTTCAGTATACTGCTGGTGCATTATTAGCATGTCAAAGAAGCTGTGCAAATAAAGTGCAGATAAAGTGAATAGCTGAAATAGTTATATTATACAAAGATCCTCTAAAGGACAAATAAATAAAGCCATAGAATGCACACAGAGACACAGTGCACAATTAATTACAACATGACTGAGTTTCACTCTTACTCAATGTGGCCAAAAGTGTGTGGACACATGAGCATTATATGTGATTGTTGAACATCTAATTCAAGTATGGGCATTAATATGCTGCTATAAAATCAGCCAATCAGCCTCAGGAGCATTAATGAGGTTGGGTTCTGATGCTGGCTAATGAAGCCTGGCTCTCAATCAGCACTCCAGGTCACCTCAAAGGTGTTGGATGGGGTGGTTGAGGTCAGGGCTCTGTGCGGCAGGTCAGTCAGTTTCTTTCATGGGGGAAGTATCAGGTTGAAACAGGAATGGGCCTTCCCCAAACTTTTAATACTTTTGGAATCACACTGTTTTCACATTGTATGATATATCTTCATAAGATTTTCCTCAATTGGAACTTAAAAGCCAAACAATGAAAAACATCCCCAGAACAAAAGTATTTGTCCACATACTTTTGGCCATATAGTATATTTTCTTTCATGTCAGAAAGATCTTGCATGATCACAATTAGGACACATTTTAAAGTTTGAAGTGGATATTTCTCTACCGTTTAATGAGAAAAGAGACTCACTTTCACCTCTCTCTCACACACACACACGCATTTTCTCTCGCTGTCTGAGTTGTCAATTGCAGTTTGATGTGTTTGTTTTGTGTTCATCCCACAGCCTACTTTCAGTTGTTGGTCAGCATTCATGACTGTCAGAGAATGCTCTCATGTAGCTGGTATTCACTGAGGTTTCACTGAGGTTTCTGTGATTGGAAAGAGGAGGGGAAAACATCCCCCAGGCAAGTTGACGAGAATAGAAATAAGCTTGCAAGCAGAGATGAGTGAAATGAAGATCCCAAAACAGAAAGAAACAGCTCTGTGGAGACATGACTTAAACCACACAGGACAGTGTAATTTCATAGGCGAGGACACACAAGAACGGAGATCATGAGGGTGTGATTATCAGTTATCTCTGACTCTGTGCTGTGGAATTCACAAATTGGAGTCATATATTGTACAAGGTTAATTAAAGTAATAGAGTGTTTATTTAATACTATTGTTGAGAAGGCCTTAAATCACATCACAAAATGTCATGGGGTTTTTTGTTGTGCCTGTTGTTAGTGGTGAGTAAAGCTGACAGATAATATAACAGGAAATTCTCCCACTAAAAAACCCTCCTATCACTTTCTTTACATGCGTGATAAACTGAAAGGCATGGGGTTTATCTCCTCCTCACTTTACTATTGCTTGATCAAAAGATTAAAAAAAAAAAATCAGTAACAAAATGTCCAATGTCCAATGCCTAATGTCTGGTAAAATTATGTTTTGCTTTGCTGTATAATACAAGAAATATAGCACTTCACTTTTGTTTGAGTAGCTGCTCAGATCATGTTTTAAATTTTTTTATTTGTATTCATCATATGCAAACTACAGTATGTACAGTAAAATGTAAAGCAACAGGCATGCAAAACAACAAAAGACAACAAAAGAATAAATATGCAATATAAAGTCAGAATAGGAAAAATAAAAGTAAACTTTTTCACTTAGGACCCTTTAACCCTGTAACACCCCTTGTTGTAAAATTACAACGTTACCTTTAGCCATCCTAAAAAACAATCTGTTATATTTTATCTTATGTTTTACCACATTTACATAGTCATTGGGTCCTATTGTTCAGTCTCACAATGCTATTGGATGGTACATTTGTTTATAAGTCCCGCCTTATGGCCATGAACTCACTCAACCTCTCAAGGTTTCCTTCGAACAACATCTTTGTTTTATTGGACTAGATTCATCAGATTCAAGTAAGTAAAATGTCTTTTACATTTTTTTGGGTTGTTATTACAATGTCCAGAGCATGTACATATGTAGTTATTGTGGAATAGATTCATCAAATTTCATTTAGAGCTTGTTATATATTTGTTGCAATTCTACAACACTGGGTGAGTGTGGTAGTCAAAATAGCAGGCTTGTTGCAGTGGGCCCAAACAGGTTGCATTCCCTCCACTACACCACTGCCTGAAACAGAGTATTTTCTTTATACATGGACAGTATACATTCTACCCTTGTGTTGTCTGGTCGAATTTGACTGATTTAAAAGTTTTATCTCTAAAAAAAAAAAAAAAATGTAGTTAATTTGACGAGACTGACCTAAAATTCCATGACTTTGTCCACAAAGAGGATATCAGACAATTCAGTTCTGGGAAAGGTGAAAATGTTCCTGAATGTGGGGTGTGGATATAAGTGGGGGTATGCATGTTTTCCTTTTAGTATGATAATTAGAGAGCACAAAACGCAGTATTGTTATGTCAAGGCAGTATTGTTTGACTAAATGGCTGGTGATTGGGATGCATATTTCTTTTAGCATGATAAGTAGAGAGCATTACAAGCTGTCAAGGCAGTATGAAAGTATCCTATCAAGGGGAAATTCAGCAGCATCAAGCAATATATGCAAGGCAAGCCAAACCCATGGGGATTCAAAGTATGGGTGAGAACTGGAATCTCTGGCATGATGTGTGACGTCTACCAAGGCAATGTCAACGGAATACGAGCCAAATCTGAACTTGGATTGTCAGGTGATGTTGTGATGAAGCTTGCTTCCACACATCCAGAAAGTCAGAACTACAAAATGTATGCAGACAACTACTTCACCTGTGTTCCATTATTAGTGAAACTCCTTGATCGGGGAATTCATTACGTGGGAACAGCCAGGCAGGTGCGCCTACCCAACTGTAACCTTGAAGACGAGAAGAGCTTGAAGAAAAAGGGGAGATGAAGCTATGATGTCAGAGTGGAGGGGAATCACAACATCTGTGCTGTCAAATGGTATGACAACAGGGCCGTCACACATCCTTTGCTGGACCTGAACCTGTGCCAGCCACCAGAACCTACATTGAAGTTGAGAGGCCTTACATTGTTGGTGCCTACAACAAGTACATGGGAGGTAAGGATTTGTTGGACTCATTTACAGCCAAATATAAGTTCCCCATCAAATCCCGTCGCTGGTACATGTACATCTTCTGGCACACCATCATCCTTGCTGTGGTCAATGCCTGGCTCCTCTACAAGCGGGACTGCAAAGCTCTCAAGATGTCTAGCAAAGAGACAATGAACAGGAGACAGTTTCAGGCACATCTAGCATTCTCTCTCATCCTGGTAAACACAACACTTCGAACTCCAAAGAGAGGACGACCATCTTCAGGCAAAGGGAGCCCAGCATCACAGACAGTGACATCAGAAAGCCCTCTGAATGCTCAGAAGAGACCATCCAAGAGATGTGCACACCTCCCATTGGATGTACGCAAGGACCTAGTTGCACATTTCCCAGTGAAGACAGGGAGGGACGCTGCAGACACTGCAATAAAGGATACACCAACACGCAATGCAGCAAGTGTGATGTTCGCCTTTGCTTTTCAGAGGACAAGAACTGTTTTTGGGACTTTCACTAACAATGAAAGTCAGTCATGAAAAGAAAAAAAAGGAATGAAGAAGTTGCTAGAAAAAGCTAGAGTTTTATCCTGTTTAGTAGTTTTTTTAATAAACGACTTCATAAAAATATTTCAGTCAGGACCACTTTCGTCAAAATATCTTCTATTCCAAGCAGAATTTACATTTGGCGGTATGGCTCTGTTCTGGGACCTCCTTGTCCTTCCACGTGCCTACGTGGAAAACCTTAAGGCAGGGAGAGCACACCTCCCTGCCCTTCCATGTGCCTACATGGAAAAGTTTAAGACAAGGAGAGCGGCAGCAGAGACCCCCCAGGGTACAGAACAGAGCAAGCATCAATGGCAATCAGAAAATGACATTAATTAATTAGAAACAACATAAAAAGGAGGAGCTGGGGTGGAGGTGGGTGCAAAAGGCTTGTAGAGGAAGCAGCAGAGATAGGCAGGCAGGCTAAAGCAGCTTAAATAAGGCGCCATGCATGATGTTTGCCAATTGGATGCTTGAGGAAATCAGGTGAGCTGTCAGCTGACTGTGTATGGTATCCAAAGGGAAGCTTAGAGGAATCAGCTGATGTATGTTTATGACTAGCTGTGATCGTATGATATAGCTGTAACTGAAAGCTAAGCCTGACTTCGTGCCCTGCCTGAACTAACGCTATGCTCAATTTCAGTCAGGACCACTTTCGTCAAAATATCTTCTATTCCAAGCAGAATTTACATTTGGCGGTATGGCTCTGTTCTGGGACCTCCTTGTCCTTCCACGTGCCTACGTGGAAAACCTTAAGGCAGGGAGAGCACACCTCTCTGCCCTTCCATGTGCCTACATGGAAAAGTTTAAGACAAGGAGAGCGGCAGCAGAGACCCCCAAAGAACCATACCAGGCAACCTCCCTTCCATGAGCTACATGGAAGGGCCAGTAAGAGGAGCCAGCAGCGCAATTTTTTGTAAGAAATAAATAACAGTAATAAAACCAATAGTTTATGCAGATACTAGTTAAAGTAACTTGGCTGAAGATTAATAAAGAGATCCCTAAGAAGTTATGCTAGAGTGTATTTAAATTAAGCCAGCAAAAACATATTTCCCAAACAGAGTGTTATATTTAGTGGTGTGGCTCTGTATGGGACCTCCTTGTCCTTCCACGTGCCTACGTGGAAAACCTTAAGGCAGGGAGAGCACATCTCCCTGCCCTTCCATGTGCATACATGGAAAAGTTTAAGACAAGGAGAGCAGCAGCAGAGACCCCCAAAGAACCACACCAGGCAACCTCCCTTCCATGAGCTACATGGAAGTGCCAGTAAGAGGAGCCAGCAGGACTATAAACCAATACGTCTACGCAGACACTAGTTGAAGTACATGGCTAAGTATACTAGAGATATCCCCAGAAATCTGCAATTCAAAGCGGGACAAAAATCAGCAATGTTATCCAAGATTGGAATATGAGATGCTCTAATAATGAATTTACCCAACATAGATAACCAAGTGAGGCGCCTTATAAATCTATTAATGAATGGAACTGAAGAACGCCCTTGTAAATGATGTTGGCAGTTGCCTCATTGTCGCAAAAAACATGATTGTTTCCTTGACCAGTCTTTTCCCCACAGAAACTTGAAACAACAATTGGGTACATTCATTAAAAAGGTAGAAGAGGCATTAGCTGGCAAGGATGACAGTATTTTAGCCATATGTCTGTGAACCACTGATTATTAAAATACCCCCCCCAAAACCTACGGAAGGGCGGTTATCATACAGGTCAATCATGCCACTTCTACTGTATGTTTGAATTAATTATATCTCCATTATTCTGTACACAACACTGAAAAACTTGTGGATCCATTGCTCTTCCCTAAATTGCCCCTCATGTCTGCTCCCTGTCTTCTAAGCTCAGCAAAGCTGTTCATTAGTGATCTAGTAGATCATAGCAGTCACTCTATTAGACCTTGCTGTTGACATAAAGCTCCCAGGGTGAACTGGCACAGTGTTCGATTCATTTATATGTACTCAATATGCTGAGTCTTTTTATAATTAATGGCAAATGATGATTCTAGCTGCTCATTGTAAAATAAGGAGATGCCATACCATTATCACACAGAAGAGATCAGGACTGGGGCTCGGATCTGCAGCCCTCATCCAAGCTCACCATATCATGGACTTCTCTATAAATCGGAGAGGTCCAGAAGCCTGGATATAAGGGAACTTCCCTGGGGAATAACACACATGCCAATTTAAGATGTCTAAGCAAGGAGAGCAGTTCTCTTTTGGAAATTACTACTGCCTGCTGCTTTCATTACCTCTCTGATGCGATTTGCATCAGTACACTATCTAGAGTGAAGCCTAGAACTCTAGCCTTACAGGGCCTGATGTTTCTCCTTGGATAGCAGAAGACCTAATGTTTAAAGGTATATTTAAGAGCAAAAATGCATGGTCTGATTTTTTGAATTGATAGTCAACTAACAGAAAATCGTCTACGAGATGGAGCACGAAAGCAGTTGCAGTTATTAAAAGAATCCAGCAGAGAGCCTCTGACAGTGTCAAATATGTGGGGCTGCTGTAACAACCAAAGGTGAGCCTAACTGAGATGTACATTTCTCTTCATTTAAACCGAACAGATACCAATGTGAAGGTGTAATACGTGACTTAAATGCATCTGTGACATCTGCCTTTGCTAGCCATGCACCTCTACATGCTTCTTTAATCAACTGATGGCATTGTAGATTATAGCATAAAATAAGGTAAAAGTGCCAGAGGATTTAAACTATTTATGCCTTAGTTTTGCCTTTGCAAGAGCAGATCAATTAATAATTATGTTTATTTATTTTTCCTGAATATTTCCTGGTAGCTATACCTTAATGCTTGTTGAGAAGGCGACTTATGAATGGACCAATATGAACCTTTGTTATCCTTTCTTCAGTAAAGCATCGACTATGTCAGCTCTTCAAAGCAAAGTCAGTCCAGCTAAGAACCATGAACCAGCCCTATAACAGATAATTCACTAACAGCGTTTAGATGCTTTCTTAGCGCCTTCCCCAGCACAGGGACGTTTACTGGGGTTGAAGGTTTATCTCTCATGCCCCCTTTTTGAGAGGCAGCACGTTCTTCCCTATGGTGATTGGGACTGCACTTCCCAGCATTCTCGGCGGGAATGTGACGCCGTCAAAACAAGCTGCTGTGACGTCATCGTCCAGCGCTGCACCTGTGGGACCACGCGCTCTACCTGCAGACAGCGAAGAGGGAAACAGGCCAACTGCGGACGAAGACTGGCCGGCCTGACGTGCCGAACCGAACCCTGGACCCTTGAACCCATGACGGCAAGCGACAGCCGGATGTTGGACAGAACTGACAAGCAAGACAGGTGGAGCCGGCCGCTGCGCCTGGGACCCGCGCTCCCCTGGAAGCAGCGCAGCGCAGCGCAGCGCAGCGCCGGAGCCGGAGCCGGGACCGCAGCGGAGCCGCAGGAGCAATTCCTCCCCCCTTCTGCGGACCCTCCAGAACCAGAGCAGCCGGACTCAACTGCGGATGTTGTTCAAAAGCGACACTCTCCCCAACACCGAGATCGCTGCTGAGACTTCACAATGCAATCGACCCGCCATGATACTCACCGCAGACAGGACAAGTAGAAACAACCGACAAACCACAAGTAACGCACACAACATCCTGGCAAACAGGCTTGTAGAGGAAGCAGCAGAGATAGGCAGGCAGGCTAAAGCAGCTTAAATAAGGCGCCATGCATGATGTTTGCCAATTGGATGCTTGAGGAAATCAGGTGAGCTGTCAGCTGACTGTGTATGGTATCCAATGGGAAGCTTAGAGGAATCAGCTGATGTATGTTTATGACTAGCTGTGATCGTATGATATAGCTGTAACTGAAAGCTAAGCCTGACTTCGTGCCCTGCCTGAACTAACGCTATGCTCAATGACTAATGTGTGATTATTATTAATGTTATATACCTTTATGGGGCTAAGTAAGCAATCAACCCTGCAAATGAACCCTTAGTTGTTCTGAATTGTTGTTCAGACAACGTGAGTACAAATACAGAAATTCTGCTCCCAACTAAGCCCAATGTTGCAATATTACAACATTTCTCTATAAACTTACATACACATTTTTTTTTTTAAAAAACTCTTTAATTTCTGCATCAAAGGCCTCCTACAACAACATCTGAAAGGTAAAATAATTGTTTTTTAAGGTTTTTCTATATTTGGGTCTTACAGGGTTAAAGCAATGCTATGTTTACTTGTTGCAAATAGTTCAACCACATCGTGATGTTCATTTGAATGGGATATAGAAGCATCAAGAGGGAAATTATTTCATGAAAAAGCAAAGATTAGAGAAATAAACATAAGCTCTGTAGCAGAAAAGGTTTACTTTCTTATTACATCTAAATATCCCAAAAACTATGTGTAAACATAGTAAAAGTACAAATGATGATCCAATGCATTCATTAAAGTGCAGGGTACTGTTTACCATCTTACTACAAGCAATGAATGCACTGCACAGAAAGGTCCATCTTTGTGTATGTTTAAAAAATCAAAAGTAATGAAATAAACCATTAGATGATATTATACTTTCTTATTTTTCTATTATTTCTATTCTACTAATATTGATTGAAATTCCAAACAAATTGCACCAACATACAGGTTAAATGTGAATGCACTGTCAGACTTACTCTGTAGAACACTTCCCTCTTGTGGTCATTTTGTATACTAACTTGACATGCTGTAAATCTAAATTTCAATTTAGGATATGGATGGGGCACAATTTTGATAGCAAATGCAGTATGAGCTGTTACACAGATAATTTAGTCCTGTTTCTGTAGTGCCAAAAAGCCTCTGATTGTCTGTTCAGGTATTCAGAAGATGTGTGTTATAATAAAATATGCAGTACAATTTCCAGTTTGGGAATAACAGTGTTAAAATTTTAAAACATCATCAACAGAAGTGATGATGTAAAAAATAACATCAAAATGATAAGTTTCCCCGTGTCTATACAACTATAGATGGCAATTTATGAAGAAATTGTGGGTGCAACATCTTGCATCAGTGTTGAAAAGCTAACGCTAAACTGAATTGCCAGCTTTAATTTGTATGAAAAAACAGCAGAAGAAGTATGAATAATGGCTGGGGGCTAAACTGACTTTCTGCTGGCTTAAATTTGTATCCTTTAGTACATTGTTTGTGCAGGAACCTTTTTTAATACAGAAATCTAACATCCCATTCTCTTCACTGGATTTTGGAACAAAAAATATACTTGGATTTCACTCAATGGATACATTACGTAGCAAATGTTTAATTCAGTATGTGTTCATTCAGCAGCCCTGCAGGAGAGACACTCTGTGGTGGTTATGGGATATGTATATATAAGCAGGACGCATACTTTTACTTTTTCTGACTGTGTAGAATTCGAATGTTTTTGACATAAAGAAAGAAATAATGCACAATGCTTTACCGAATTTACAAGAAGGCCCAGACATGTATTAGGACGTACTAATAGTTTGCCTGGAACAATAAGTATTGTGAACATTTTAAAGTTTCCTGAATCTACACCCAATAACGGAGTGAAGACCTCACGAGGAGTCATTTATGACTCATGGGAGGACATTTATTTCTTAGATATATTTTGGTTTGCCACTTCCTGCGGATGATACATTCATTTCTTTACACTAGCAAAGCTGTACTGACTGGCACCTGCCAAGAAGACACATATACGTAGATGAAATAAATCTGTTACATTAAAATAATGAAAAAGAGCACAATCAGGAGGAGGAGGAGTAAAAAATGCGAAGCACACATGCACACAATCATTAGACAAAGCATGAAAGCACTGTATTGCAAGCAAGACAATTTTCTCATTAAGTGTCTTTGTATGTAAATATTACTCTGCACATCAGTGCTCTTTTTGGTACTTTTTTCTTTGTAACAAGGACAGAAAATCAACTCCTTCCTCCTTTCAAACTTTTTTAAAACCACCATACAATAAATAACATTTTCGTATTACTTTTTTTTACCTTCCACAACCTAGATGACTCACTGGTGTGTGTTCACCCTTGTGTAACCTCCATCTCAATTCTATATCTTGTTCAACACTTCCTCTTTTCCCATCAGTGCACACGCATGCAGCAAACACCTCCTGATTATGATCACTTGTTGCAAAATGTTGCCTAAGAGAAAGAAACAGAACATCATTATATTTACTAGAAAGCAGGAATTTAAGAGGATGTGGAAGGAGAGATAGGGTGTGGGCCTCTAACACGATGCTACGCTCAAATCATATTCAAGAATCTTTCAGAGAGCCACACCTCAGCTTCCTTAAAAGGGGTTGCGTTTTTCATTTTTAAAAGCCTCAAGCTCATAATCAGGTTCCAACCAGCAGCGACCAAAAATGGTATTGGTGGGGTGTGAAAACAGAGAACGGAGCACTCATCTTGTGATCAGGTTAGTGGAGAAAGCGTGGGGGGGTTCTTTTTTCACGTGTCTGGTCAATGTGGTCCGACTACTGAAATGTGTTGTATTTTCACATATTCTTCTGTATTCTGCAAGAAGTACAAAATCAAGTACGTCAAAGCAGTTTGTACTTGATTGACTGTAAGTTAATAAATACATCAGGATCGAAAGTAAGTAAGTAAGTAATTTGTATGTTGACTTTTACATCTGTACAACAGCCAGTGAGTACAACAGTGCTGTTGCCAACATTAAAACTTTCACCACATCCTGTTCAGAGTTTGTCTTGAAGTCTCAACTATAGGGGCTTACTTAATAGTGAATTACCTTAATTATATTAATCATATCTGGAGGCCCTTATGCGTTAAACTCATACCTCTGCCGGCTAATATTCTGGTTCCACAGAGACGGTGTGTACAGTACATGGCTTTCTCTGTACTCCAGAAACAACTATTTATGATTATGTAATAAATTACTTTTAAGTGAAAATTGAAGTCTCAGACGAAAAGGATCAAAATTAACTTCAACTGAGCAGTTTGTTATTTTTTGTGATCAGATGACAGGTGCAATTGTTAAAGTCTAATTTGACACTCCAGGTACTTGTGGTACGTGGTTTTACCTGTGGTGTTTCTGTTTTGCCTAGTGTGGTTCTGTGTAATTTAGCAACAGAGTTCTGCTCATTTTAAGCTGCAAGCTGTTCCTTAAGTGTATTTTGTATTACGATAGTGTGAGGCATGACAGCTCGTGCCTGAGAACACAAAAATGACTTATTGATGCAAAAGTGCAGCTTGCAATCTAATGGGAGAGTTGCATAGCTTTGTTGCTCACTGTTAATAATAATAATAATAATATGCAGCGTGGTGCAAACCTGAATAAGTGGGGTAAGGTGAGATTAGCCTGTAACACAGCAGTACCTATGCAATAAAAACAAAAAGGAAAAAATGAACTGAAACAGCATGTACACCTCCCTAATTCTATGGTTTTACACAGAAGAAGTCTAGATCCAATAGGAAGTTCTTATTGTGAGGTTGATAAACTAAATAAACCTAGATATCTATCTTTATGCAGTTTTTTCAGGAAGTTTCCATGGGTCTGTGCAAAAGTTGAAATAATAAATATGTAATTATGTACAGTATCTGGGTTTTGTAGTTTTTTTGTTTTTTTTTAATGTGCTATGTGTGCTCACATTTTCCATTTCATGCAAACATACAAGAAACACAAACACACATTTTTGTAGTTTCGCTGCATGTGTCCTTTGTCTTTGTCATGTCCTTTGTGAGTCTTCCTTATTTCCTTATTTCTACTTCCTTATTGGTTCAGTTGTATGTCATTTTCCTTGTCTTGCGCAAAGTAAAACCCTATAGTTTCAAGTCTGTTTCACAATCCTGCTCTCTGTTCGTCTTTATGATTTCACGTCATGTTCCTTACCAAGCAGAAACACATACATACAGCAGTAAGGCAAGCGATTTCTAAAAAAGAGAGAAACTTAGCACAAACAACTTTTTTCAATGACTGAATGAATGAATTTTAATTTAATATTATTTCAATAATAATAATTTTATGAATTATTGACCAAACATTTTTTTCCAGAAAAGATTTTAAAAAATGAAAGCATGACATATTTGTGGTCACTGATTGGGATGTAAGTGAATCTTAATATATGATTTCTCGCTTCAGCTACAGCACTTCGGACTAATGTTTTCTTTCTTTTTATCCCTACAGTAAAAGGAAAACGATTTTTCTTGATTCATGGTTGAACAGAAACCTGTCATGGTCTCTGATTTGAGTGAGTGGTGGTGAGGCGTCTTCATAGTAGGAGTCACAGGCTGAGTTGGAGTATCTGAGTGAGTTCTCATTACAATCATCATGGTCCCGATGCAAGAACTTGCATTAGAATGCTACAGCAGACTTTCATTCATTTTCAGAAAGTTCTTAAGGATCTTTTGCTTTTCTAAGTAAATGCATATCATCACCTAGTGTCTATAAATTTGAAGTAGTTTTAGTGAATTACATCCAAGTGCTTCTTTCTGTTTTCTTTCTCTGTTCAGTTAGAGCTATCAATGGGTCAATTACAGACAGGTCTGATGTCTTCACAGCTGCTAGAGTCAAATCTGCAGACAGTGTTTTCATCCATCTGTGTCACTGACATAGCTGCCACACCCATATAATCCCCCTTTGAAATGGTGTGTTTTTTTCCTGTTAACATATGTCAATACAAAGTTCCCCAGCTGTTTTGTTACTGTCTGTGAGCGTCCTGTAATAACCTTGAACGCGTAGCTTTCACATGAGAACTTGATGCAGCCCTGTTTAAAATGCTGTCCCTGAATATGCATATAGGGTTACTATTCATGGATTCATTAAGCCTATTTGTTTGTCCTTTCTTTATCCTAAATATTAGAGGAAATATAAATAACAACTAAAATAATAAATTAATCATGTTTGTTATTACAGTAGATAAAAAAATATATACAATTTGTAAAATATTATATTTACAAGGATTCCCAGTATTGGAGAGTCAATAATATCTTACATTAGAAGGACAAATTGACAGAACTACTGGCATTCACAGGATTTAGCCAGATCGTGTAATGTGGTAAAAGTAGTCTTAATTGCAAAATCTTAATAAATCTATTCAGTGTAACGTTAGAGCCAAACAAAAAGTTATTTTCCATGAAAATAAGAAAGTCACAGCCAAAAACATTATTTTAAGTGTAGAAATGAGAGGAGAAGCTTACTACTTAATTTTAAGTTAATTCTTAAATGACAGATGACAAACAAATACACTGCTGAATATTTTTACATAAAGTCAATCAAAGGAAATGTCGGAGATAAACTGACCTGTTGATGGTTATCTGTGTTCATTGTTAAAGGAGCAGTGCGTTTGCAACATATAGCTGCTTATCTATAAATCATGTATACTTCTACTACTACATTTTTGATGACCATTGATTTCCGTTAAGTCCTGCAAAATGAAAATCACTTATTTTGGGGGGGATTATATTCCTCTGGTTGACAGGCAGTTCATGGTCAGCGCCTTAACTTCTACACCACCAGGGCTTCAACAAAGTGATTTAAAAAGTTTGCACTATAATTGCCTCTCAGTTATCTTTATCATATAAACTACTGGATGCAGCATGGAACAGTAGAAAAGTACAATCCTCATTTCTAAAACACATAGTTTTCAAAATGGCTATTTGTGAAGTATATGTGGTTAGCAGTAAATGGGCTTAAACATGGCAAAATAACTGATATGGTAATTTAATATCTGCTTGGGTAAAGCCACAAAAACCTTATCACTCCTTAATAATCACACTTCTTCATTCCCTTTTGTGACAGGGGTGTGAAAACACTAAAAAGACTCTACTCGACTCAATGAAGAAGTACCTCCTCCTCTTTTTTCTCAGTGTTTTCCCGCTGTGTCTTCTAAATGGATGGCCGACAGGATTCCAATCCCTGCCAGCCATAAACCCCTCTACCTTCTCGAGCACACATAGAAATGTGACCATCCTGCTGTGGTACTGGCCCTTCAATAGGCCATTCAGCTTGAGGGGTGATGTGTGCTGGGACCTCTACCGCATCCCTGGCTGTAGACTGGTGGACCAGCGCTCCTTGTTCCCCTCAGCTGATGTGGTGGTGTTCCACAACAGAGAGTTGGTAATTGGCCACCAAAAGCTGCCTTTTGACCTTCCACGGCCACAGGGCCAGAGGTGGGCCTGGATGTCTCTGGAGGCCCCTCTTTATAATGGAAACTTGAGAAATTATGGACATATCTTTAACATGACCATAACCTACAGGAGAGATGCTGATATCACTGTACCCTATGGTGAGCTGCTACCAAAGGTAACTGAAGAACATCTGCAAGAAGACAGCCCTCTTAATAAGACCTCTCTGGTCTGTTGGGTGGTCAGCAACTACAGGAGCCAGCACAAGAGAAGCCAAGTGTACAAACAGCTCAATGCCACAGTTCCTGTGAAGGTTTACGGTCGTTGGACAAAGAGACCCCTCCCCTCTAAAGCCCTTTTACCTACCATCTCTCGCTGCTACTTCTATTTGGCTTTTGAGAACTCGGTCGGCAAAGATTACATCACAGAGAAGCTGTGGAGGAATGCTTACCTCAGCGGGGCAGTGCCTGTGGTCTTGGGACCGCCATTAAGCGACTACAAAGCCGTGGCTCCACCTAATTCTTTAATACACGTTGATGAGTTTGCATCAGTGAAAGACTTAGGAAAGTATCTACAACAGCTTGCAATGGACAAGAAACGCTACAATGAATATTTTACCTGGAAACATCAGTGGAAAGTGAAGCTGTACACAGACTGGAGGGAGAGACTGTGTAAGATCTGCTCACAGTACAACAGTTTACCTCAGCAAAAGGTTTACTCTGACCTAGAGGCCTGGGTCAGTGCTCCTAACACTTGAGCTTGCATAGTTGTAGTTATTTCTTTATTGATACTACATTTCTGACAAATTACCATATATAATAATGTTTCAGTGTGTTGAGTTTCCATTTTATTGCTGTGCCAGAAACAAAAAACACAGATGAAAGAAATTGGAGAAAATGAAGAGGAAGATATTTGAGTATCGCAGAAAAGAATTACATTGCTGAGATTTAGGAAACTATGTAACAACCATGAATACACAACTAACATGCTTTAACTAATGACCAAGTGAATTAAATTCTTAGCACTTTATACCAAACACCTGACCTCTCTAGGGTTAAAAGAATAGTTCACTTCCTTGCAGAGTTAGGGGAGAAGAGTGATACCATTCTCATGTTTGCACAGCAAATATGGTAACACTATTCTCTTCTAACTCCTGGTAATAGTTATGTGTATTTCCAAAACTGTAACTATTGAAGTTTAACGTCACGTAGCTCACAGTTCAGTGCACTTTAAGAACATGGATATGACACCCAACCTACATGTACTCCAACAACACCTGCAACCTATGTAGTTCCATTTAAAAATTAATTTTGTCTTTAAAATTAAGTAGAGGAACCCCCCCCCCCAAAAAAAAAAAAACAATGTTGTCCCCCAACTTGAGAACTCCAACTCCACGCTGCTGTTAGTGCTGAATATAATGAAGCTACAGCTGAAAATTCAGTATATCCTCTAAATACAAGCATTTTTAGATGTTCAGAATCTTGTTTCATTCAAACAGTAGGCGAGGTGTTGAATATCAAATTTTTTTTATTCATTTGATGCAATTTGATCTGCTCTGTATTGGATTTTGAAGATGCCCATCTTCCCTTGCCAATAAAAATTATATTTTACTGAAGAAGTCTGAGTGTCATTGCAAGACGCTACTATGAATTAATTCAGACTACTATCTAAATAAAGCACAACTTCCTCAAACCTATTTTCAGTTACAGTAGGTAATGACTGTTGAGGTGCTTCAAACTAGAATTTCAGTTCCTCGTTCAATTAAACCACACCTGGTTGTAAACCAAGAAGTAGAACTGTAACATAGTAAGTCTGTTATTGAACTGCATAACAAGAAAGCGTTTTAAGTGGGACGTTCTTACAGGATACACAGTTTGCATGTTTATCTCAACACATGAACAGTTTCATTGTAAAGTCAGTTTTACTTGATTAGTAGGTATAGATACATTAAGGTTTAGAGTGATTTGATTGAAGACATCTCAGTGTAACTAACAAATAATTTAATCAATTTACAATTTGAGAATATGTGTCACATTAAAAAACCGGTAAGAGTCTAATAGTTATCATTTCACCCTCACATTAGTAAATATTTCTCAGTAAAATTATTCATCATAACACTGAAATAACTCTGGGCTAAAGGATTGTTCCAATGTTCTTCTGAGAACTCTTAAAAGTTTAGTCCTGCTAATAGATTTGTGGTCATCTATAGGGACTTCTAAATCATGTGAGGTATAGTCAGGAGTGACATTTAATTTCTTTTCTAAAATTTACGGACAACCTAGTGAAGAATAAACTTTAAAAAAAAAAAAAAAAAAAAACAAGACCAGACAAGAGAAATACTGCAATGAGCACCCAAACTTGATTTTTAGTATTGACTGTTATTCAACAATTCATTCAACATAAAAACTCTTTACAATAAAAACAAAATGGAGGTATTGAAATACAATTTGGCTGTTGTAGCTTCAACTTAACACTTAATTGATCAGAGTCAGGTCAGACTTAATCTCGCTACCACCTGAGAAAAATACTGACGGTGTGCAATTGGCAGAATTAGCAGCTAAGACACTTTGGAGTAACAAATCATAACACTCCCTCAAAATATTACTCACCCATCAGCGCTAAAAATATTTTGTAAAGATGTCGATGACAATCAACAACTTTAAATCTAGGTTCAGTATACAAATGGGACATTAAAAAAAAAAAAAGAAAAGATATATTCGACATTACAAAAGCAACTTTGTGCAAAAATCTGAGAAATGCGCCAAGAACATGAGGGTGCAGTTTCCATTTCATTGACAGTTCAGACTAATACTGTAGATGCTCTAGTCAGATGGGACACAAAAAGTATTGCACAAACATTGACCAAACTGTTGACTGTAAATTCTGTTCAAAGAGGGTCACACGGCAATTCCTTAGATAACTTAGATCTTTCCTCATCTGCACCACAGAGAACCTACCCACAATTTAGTACAAGTGGAAGGAAAACCCTGGATCTTTAACTCTGTTCACATTCACTTACTCACTCCACAACAGGACCATATACTGAAGTACCACTTTGGCACTGTTCTAAACCTGCAATGATTAAACCTATAATGATTAAAACCTATGGAATAACTTACTATGCACTATCCAAGAACACAAGGCACATTCAGAAATATTTGGTTTAAATTGTTCCTGTTTTAGTTTGAAGTCAAAGCATATGTTGAGATGCATTTCATGGTAAGAGGATGTGGCCCTTGGCAGTTTCATCATCTAAACAGGGAAAAGAAACCACTTTTATCCATCTTCCACTGCACTCAGTAGAAGAGCTTCCACACTTTTGAATGTTTCTATCCACCGATATGATCGGTCGATCTCGTTATTGGATTTAGAGGCTCGTCCTCAGCTTGAGTTGGGGTTGGACAGAGAGGCTCTGGGAAGGCAATCTGTGGTTCTGGCCGGGGACTACCTCAGCGTGCTTATCCAGTCAGGTGACTAACCAGTCCGGGGTGCAGGGCTTGTTTCAGGACGTCAGGCCGATGAAGCTGGGGCATATAGAGTGTGGGAGGAGGGGCACCGGGGTAGCTGGAAGTAGGGTATCCCTGACTGGGAATGGGGGAAGGGACCATGTTCAGTGGGGAAGGACTCTGCTCGTAGTACTGACCATCGCACTCCTCGTCTAGTGGCAAGGCCAGGCGCTTTCCTTTCTGTCTTCGGTTGCAGAACCAGACGCGTACCACCTGTCATGGACACCATTTATCTTTTAAAAATGTGACCAATGGACAGACACTCTTTTAAAAGTCAAACTGTATTACTTTTAGAGTTTGTACTTACATCTCTCTCCAAACCCAGGTCGTCCGAGATGTGTGTGATCTCCTGGGTGTTGGGCTTGGGACACTTAATGAAGTAAGATTCCAGAGCAGAGCGCACTGCACCCTCCAGGCTGGTCCTCCTCTTCCTCTTTCTGGTGTCAACAAATACCCGCTCGATCTTGTACATCTGAGGACATCAGAAACATTTTAATATTGGTTCATACAATTTTATTTTGTGCATTTGTAAACCATTTGGTGTATGTAATGTATGGATGTCAAGGTTCAAATAAGGTTTCTTGTGAGTACTAAACAGCTTGAGTACAGCCACTAGATGGCATATCACACTTCACAAGAATGGAGGGTCTTCATTCCAGTTTGCTCAGCAGGAAGTAGACCTGAAAAGACCAACCGATCCCATGAAGCTTGTTGATCATCTGTTGTCTTGTTAACTAGTTGGCAGATGTCAAGAAATGCAGACTTACATCCTGGGGATTTTCCGAGGTTTCTGCCTCATTCAGCCATCTCTGAAGAAGGGGCTTCAGCTTGCACATATTCTTGAAGCTCAACTGCAGAGCCTCGAAACGGCAAATGGTCGTCTGGCTGAACATCTTACCTACACAGACAAACACAAACGTGAAATATCACATGGAAATAAACTAAGAATGGTTGACTTAAGAGCCAAAACTATGATTTGAGAGCCATCGGTTATGGACGTGCATTCCTATCTGTTAGAAGACTGCAGATATATATCAGGAGTTTGTTCTCTATGGTCCCTTACAGTTTAAGTGAAACGTTTGGCAAACCTGGACATGAATGGACAAGATCACTTCCTAACTACTGTTAGGGATGTAGTTAAACGTTATTAAATACTGATGCATGAGAAACTACAAATCTAGTAAATATGTCCACATGGACAGCCATACGTGGTACCTCCCAGATTGGCTCTATGACAAGTTCTCAGGTTTGCATATCTATCACTTAAGATCCAAGCATTGTCTGATCATGACTTAAAAATACATGTTTAACAGGGGTTGAACAAAAAAAAAAGTCTAACATGAAAACTTACCATAAAGGTTACCTAGGGCAAGGCCAACATCAGCTTGAGTGAAACCTAAGGTAATACGTTTGTGTTTCAGCTCCTTAGCGAACTGCTCCAGTTCTTCCGTGGAAAGATTCTCCTGAGGAATTGAGATAAAACATTTGAGACTGAAAATGTGGGCTCATGTCTAGGTGCCACTTATATTCTTTGAACATGTTCTCTACAAGTTGCATTGGTTCTCACAAAAGGAAATAGTGCATATTTTGGTTAATACTGGATATCTGTTTTAAATGGTTGTCCTTACCTCCTCAGAGTCGCTGCACCCGCCGCTGGAGGACCCGCTGCTCCGCGTGGAGGAGGCCGGGTTCTGCGTCTGCGGCCCGGTGACAGCCTGGGTTGTGTTCACGCCGAAAAACGCGTTCCCTGGAAGCCCGTTGCTTGGGGGCGAAGGGGACATAGATGGTGAAGATGCAGATGATGTTGAGGGGTTTTGATTATTACTGCCCGGTGGTGTGATGTGGGTGATCCCGGGCCAGAAGGACGGGTTCCAGGCCGTAGAGTAGAAGACTCCATGGGGCATGGCGGCGGAGGTTGGAGGTGTTGGATACTGCTGAACCTTTATTTCCGTTGAATAGTCATCACCAGTGTCTTTCTCAGTCTTTATTTCGGGCAGTTTGATTTGCTCCCTGGTCTCGGCTATTGGGGGACTCAGGTTTATAGGCTGGGTAGCTGCTGTTACGCCGGGTACCTGGCCGGTGTACTCGGGTGCAGCAAAGGGATACCAGTGCTTGGGTTGCCCAAACTCCCCAGCCTGCAGGTCGGATCCCCTGTAGTCCCCGGCGACGGGTGGGAAAGGGAAAAAGGTCTGTGCAGAGGCCGATGTGATGCCACTATAAGCGGTTTTATTGTAGAGGAAGCTCGGGTCTGGCAGGACGCCGTGAGGAAGCTGAAATGACGCAGCGCTGCCCAAAATATCCTGACCCAAAATCTGGGTGCAAGGGTTGGTCCGGCTGAAGTCATAGGGCCGGCTTTGGCACTCTGGACTCTGCGATCTATCAGACATCTTCCAAGCGGTGTGAGAGCCTCTTGACAAGAGAGCGTCCAGAATTAAAAAGTTTTAAAAAAGCTCATCCGTTTCGAAGTTTACGCACAAACCAAAGAGAGATGAGAGAGGAAGAAGTTGTCCAGAAGAAGAAAAACAGCAGCTGTCCGAGAAAAGTCCGTTTGTGGGGAAATTCTGCAAAAATGTGGGCCTAAGAAGTTGCCGTTTTGGTGCAACATAACCACCAATATGCCTACGGCCTACTCCATGAAGTCCAACCTTTTGACACGCCACTAACCTCACCTTCAAGCTCAAATGTCCCTCTCCTGCCTGTGCTCCACAGGTTTTCCTAATCACAGCTGCGGGTGTTGCAGATCACCGTATCTCTTTGCCCATTGGCTGGCGCAGACAATTGCGCACAGCTGATGGTGAATTTGTGAATGACCTTGATTCATCCCAAAGTAGTGGGCGTGTTTTCACATAAACGTAGAGCCTTTTTTTTTTTTTTTTGCTGCAGACCAACTCTGTTCCTCTCTTTTTAAAGTGAATTTAAAACGCATTACGCACAATGCAAAATCATTCCTTGGGGAAATATTAATTCGACGTCACCTTAAAAAGCATATTTACATTGCTAAATAGGCACAGGTCAGTGCTCCAGTAAATACATATTGTAACACTACAACCCGCTCACCTAGCACATGAATTATAAAGCTTCGGTTTGTTTAAATTATTCCCCTTTGAGGAGATGGCTTTGATATTAAAATCCCTGTCATTGAGGCTTCACTCAGACGTGAATTCGTTTTAATTACTAACATTTAAACAAAATGAAAATAAGCTGACACTGTAATCCTGAATAACTGCGATAGAACAAATTACCTTAATTAATCAGGACACGTTTAATTTGAAGCAAACAAATCTAAGGGTCAGGGCTAAGTTATGCTTTTGTGAATGTTTTGACCGCTCATAAGCAGCAACACATGCATGCCAGAAATAAAAAAAATAAATAAACGGAAATGTGTAATGGTTTTGTTTACTAGTAATTTTCGGGAAGTGCAATATTTATAAAGCAGAAGGCGGGCAGTGTGAGCTATACATATGAAAGATGTGGCAGATAAACAAGTGTTAGTAGTTCAAAAAGGTTATTTTGTGGTGAGGTTCTGTGCATGATGGAAAACACGACTTTGTTTATCTTGGGTCTTTTTTTAGGGTAAAACCATATTTCGGCTATGTTAATTCTGCTTTGCCAAGATGAATCTTTGTACATTGGGCTGTGTTAGAAACACTGAATATTTTAATATGTTGGTTATTTTTGCTCCTGAAGTTCTCGTCTAGTCTAGAAAACTGAGAACTACTATAAATCATGAAATAACCGAGAGCATTCAGGTGAACTTCTCCCATTCTCCCATTCACTCTTGATCGGTAGCCATTCAAAAGCCTGGATGGTCAGAGCACTGTACAGATGCGCTCCCCCAGCGCGAGTAGTTGGCCCCAGATTGCGGCAGGAAGACACACTGCGGGAAGGGAGAGGGGGTGCCATTGTACGACCTGGCCCCGGGGCACCCCGTGGATTTCAGATCCCGAGTTGCGATGGTCGACCATTAGCTCCTTTTCAGATTGGAACAATAAGTCTCAACCCTTTGATTCCGCCCCACACCCACCTCCTCCCCCTTTCCCCTCCTGTCCCCTGAAACAAACACCAAGCTGAAGTTTCACTCTGGTCTGCAGGGTTCACCGAGGGCCAATACCCTGGCATCCTTTCTGATATGGCCTAAAGGTCCAAAACTGGTCCGAGGACCAATTTTTTTGGAATAGGCCTATCTCTTGCACCTTTGGTATGCGGCTTGAGATGAATGAGCATCTAATCCATCCCTTTTTGTAGTTTGTGGAACAAAGCTTAAATGTTTTTATGCTTTGTGACCCATAAAAATAAAGAGATACCTGAGTGGTGAATAATTTGATTAAATAAATATGTTACTTTTGCAGATTCTGCTATTTGATTATTATTAGGAGGCTTATAGGCATACACATGTATTTCAAAGAAAATATATAATTAAAAACATCAGAAAAGAATGATAATTAATTTTGTTAGACCTCAAAGTTATCTCATGGCATCATTGCAAACAGCAATTGAAAAATAATGTATTATTGAAAGTACACAGAATTTCTACACTGAAACCAGAAGAACAGCTCTCTGTCTGCTCTTCCAGATAGAAAGTCATGTAGGTCCAGGCCAGGGAACCTTGGGGAAACCACAAGAGCCTGGTAAATAGCTTAAAAGACATCAAACCCCAACTATACAAGCATTGTCTTGGGCCATGGACTTGGGAGAATAATTGTCATGCAAAGACAGAGCAAGCAAGAAGAAATAGTAGACTTCAGGCTTGGCTTCAGAGAGAAAGGGACAGCAGAGCACAGAGCTCTCAGGGTGTCCAAAGGAGGGGGGCAGTGTTGAATAGCTCGGTACAGTGAGGAGGAGATGTGTGAGGGGAGTATCTGGGGATTTAGTTGAAAACCCCCCAGATGTCTCAGATCTTGCCTTTAGTTCTTTTCAAGTGGCCTCTTCAAGACACCTCAGAGATCTGCTCGCGGGGCACGTCCAGTCAAATAGAGAAAGAGGGAAAGTTTCAGATAAAAGAAAGCTTTACAGCAGCAGTCTGAATGTCTTGCACACCTCAAACAGTCACACCAGTGAAGACAAAAACACCTCTAACTTGAGCAGTAGGACCAAAACAAATCCCAAAGTATCAGTCTGTATTTTAAACAAATTTCTTCCTACTCATTGCTCATTATAGTCCTTGCTCTTGTTCATTTTTCGTTCTTCCACTCACCATCACCATAGGCATTCAATTGAAAGCAATACTGTTCCTTTGTGATATCAAATTAGGACACGTTGTTGTCTTAAATATGAATTAAATGATCCCTGTTATGTGACTGATGATTGATCGCATTGTGAGAAACCGTCACCGCCTTTCATTTGAGGATGTACGGGTTTGACCGCGTTTATATGACACTTGTGAAGATGGCACGTTGATGTAGCTTAACTTGGTCTTGCTGTGAGAAATCGTCGCTGCCTCTCGCTTGAGGATGTATGGGTTTGACTGTGTCTATATGACACTTGTGAAAATTACATATTGATGTATAGTTGCACTTGTCACCTCAGGAGGAGAGACTGTCATTTTCAGTAAGCCGTTTATGTAGTTCCTAAATAAACTGCTTCTGCTTATTACATAGTATAAAAATGGGTGTCTTCTTCATAAAATTGTTAGAAATGATAGATCACAAACTTTATGAATAATGACACTATAGCCCAGCCTCTCCCAAAACAAAACTAAAAGTTAGTTTTATTGCTAAATGTTAAAAAATAAAATGGGCATAAATCTAAGTCACTACCATTAAAAGTTACTGATTTGATACAGTGGATATGCTGGAATCTAGATACTGCCCCTCCTGTTGAGCAGCACAATTGTCTCCCACAAACAAGTCTGATGGCTTTTTGATTTTCTACCTAACGGCCGGCCTTTGATACCCACCTTCACAGATCCTCCACCCACCCAGGTTTCTATCCGAGGGCCAATGGCTGCCTTCCCTCCACCATCCACCGGCACAAAGGGCTTTTAATGGCCCTTGGCATGTGGCTCAATGGGGACAGGAGACTGACCCGTCCCCTCCCCACCACACACGGACATACAACCACATACAGAAAACCCACATGGAGGTACATGCAAGCTTTCTCTCTGCCCCTACCCCCACCACACACACTTTCTGGGTGTAGTAGTCATTTGTGTGCTGAAGGTAAAGCAAGGTCAAACAGATCACCAGAATAAGTAACACATTTCGAAGTGAGAGGCGTATGTGTGATGACAGTTTATCAAGGAAATGATTACTATCCTGCAGTTTTGACTCTCTGGTTCAGCAAGACTAAATCTTAATGCCCTTATTTTGTCATAAAAATGATCTACAGAAATGCCCAATAAAGTCTAGGGGTTCATAATACCTGACGTTTAACTGGTTTTACCAAAAAATATTGCAACCTAAGTTGGTCCATTTCTTTAAGAGACTTCTCTCTCTAACCCCTTAACGTCAAGTTTCCTTTCATTTGCACTTTGCAAGTTTTAAGGCTGGAAAAATCATCACACACCACACAGTATCAATTCATATTCTGGATCGGCTTGTTTCACCTCATTTATTCATTGAAGCTTACACTGAGTGAAATATTCAAACCAAGACTCCATGGGAGCAAATGAAAAATGTCTAAATAATGTCTTTTGGCATTATGTTATACCAAAAGTCAGTCTGAAATATTTGGTATTGTTGGGATCTCAATTCGAATTTAATATTAAGTTTTGTGGGTTCGAACAATGTTTGCCTGCATAGAATTAGTTTGTAATGAGACTGTCCTTAAAACACATAATTAAACATAATGTATTTCATTTGAGACCAGATTTTGTAGATTTTGCCACAAAATGTAACTTATATGGGCACAATTGCCTTTCAGATATACCAAAACAACCTTATTACATTGTTGTGGCGCACCCCTGTGTTTAAGAGGTCAAGACACTGACCATGCACCACAATATCCAAGTTTCATCTGTAGAGTTTGCATCTCTCTCCCTCATCTACTGTCATTTCACACATTAAATGCATTAAATGTGCATAAAATCCATACCATATACAGCACAAAATGAAAAAGGCAAGTCAAATTAATTTCTACGTGTGGTAAAAAGTTTTAATTCCAATCCTTGGTCTGCATGTACAAATATCTATAAAAAGTGAACACTTTCACTCTTTGTATGTACATTTTGCAGCACAGAGTTAACTTGGGGGCACAGAAGAGGGCAGAGAGGAAAGAGGGACAATACAAGATATTGATATTTACCAACTAAACATCCATCAGTATAGTCTGTCTCCAAAGATTTCATTCAAGTGCTCAGAAGTCACTTTTACTGTACATTCCCTCCTCCAGCAACAAGATGCATACATACAGGAGGACGTACAATTCATCAAAGCGTTGCCATGATTCA